TAGTTTGAGAGCCAAAAATGATCTCCTGCAAGTCCATTTGCTGTGAGTTGTACGGCTTCCTTTTTTAACAACTTGTTTCTTAACAAAATTACATTCCACATCCACGTGCTTGGTATCCCAAAGCAATTTAAGCCTTCTCTCAGTATGTGAGGTCGTCAAGAATCATCTCCTCCGTAAGTACCATTTTCATTAGGTCTCTTCTATTGGTCTCCTTCCAAGTCAAGTTATATCTTCCTCTACCGGAGTCTACCCTCTAATGTTGTGTTCTTATACGGCTTATACACTCGCACATTCTAACACACCGAAATCTATGAATGTGGCCAAACTATCTCAAATCCCCCCCCCCTCCATTTTATCAGCTCGTCCTCAATTGTGATTAATCTTGCTTAATCATCTATCACGTCATTCCTAATCTTGTCTTTCACTTTGTTGCCTATTGCATGCTTATCGTCCGCATTGAGTTCCCAACCTTGTTCAACCATAAAATTCAAGTGTGAAATCTCTCTTTTTCTTGTATCCTCCTTATTCTTATCTTACACACTATCTTGGAATAAGTCTTGATGAATCTAGTGCTTCTCTACTCACATTTAAACCTTTAAATTTCATTCTTGATCTCCAAAAATCAAGCTTTGTGTTTAATCCTTCCCTGTATTCCTCCAAGAGAACATTGTTTTATTTAATTACAGGGGCCTAGTCAAAGCGTGTAAATTAGCACCCATGATGACCTATATTAGGTTACGAAATATACAACAGATCTTCCCTCATTACAGAGACACATCGTGGGTGGGGATATTGGAGCATTAACAAACTCCCCGCGACCCTGCTATCTGTTGGGTATTGCTTGATAAAAAATCAGTGCACTTGATTATATTTCATGTGGCATACCGGAGCCATTTATTGCTCAAAGAGATCAATGTTATCAACAAATAACTTACACCAAAGCACTTCAACTTGATAGATCTCTATCGGAAGAAGTAATATGCTAGATTCTGTTCACGGTGCCCACATACTTGTCCTCGCTCTCCATACAATTTTTTAACTTCCATGTAGGACACTCATACATCCTTCTCTAGCACCCTTCAAAGAACTTCTCTAGAATCTTGAGCATGTGCTTCCTCCAAGTCAATACGTGAATGCACACTATACTGCCATTGATAAGTCCTGATTTTCTTGATAATGCTCAACGGGCTGCAGCCCGCGTGTATATCTGGTAGCTTATATTGTTGATCTTTCCGATCTCTTTTCAATTGTTCTTTCCTGTAGTTCCCCAAGAACTGGATTTTGAACTGAATTGTCTCATTGAAGAATAGTACGGGACACTATGTGATGCACTCTTGACCTAGTCACTGTTATGCCACTGACAATACTTGTGATTGCCGAATATTCAGCTTTAGATGATCAAACTAAGCCTCCGCTGCGGACCTATTTGCTTGTTTGTAGTTTGCTAGTGTGGCGGGAGTATTACTGTTTGAGGCCAAAGAACTCCAATACTATAAGCCATATTGTAATCTACTATCTGAATCAACATCCTTGTGTGTAACTCGTGAGAGAAGGTGCTAAACATACACAACATTATGCTTTCGCAGTTGCTTGCTCAAATATAACAACTTACATTTGTAATTTGGTGTATGAAGAATATTGCTAAATGCTAAGGCCTAAGGTGCAGTATTGATCACCTTAATCTTTTTATTTATTACATATTCTTATTTTTATTACTAGATCAGAATCAACTTCAAACATATAGACAAGAATAGACCGGACCAGATGTTGCATTTCAAACAAGAAAATTAGACAAGATCACAAACATCTTATCACATCAGAATCAAAACATTCAAATCAGAAATATTCAGACCAGATCATACTAAAGAACACCAAATTCTATAAAAGTTTACATCAGATCACATATTTCTAGGCCAATAAGCCTCATTCCAGTTTGAAGAGTGCAAATCTATGTGACCAGCCATATTAATTGGCACTCTATCCCATTAGGAATTTTTACACTTACCATACTCTCCCATGAACATTCTGGTTTGGTAATATGTTCCAAGTTTGCAACAGAATTGTCCATTCTTCAGCATTATTAACACCTTACTCCCAGCTAGTGGAGGATAGTGAAATTAACTTTCAGTACCAAATAGTTGTATAAAACAGTTCAATTCTATAAATTCATGCAAAAAGAGCAAAGTGGCAATGTTTTACTTTGGATTATATGCCTTGCAATTTTCATAATGAATAGTGAGATGTAATATCTAAACCCATCATCATTAAGATTATTTCCACATGCATTAGATGATATCTGATATTGGATATTATCATGTCCATTACATGATTGATATCGCAAGACCATCATGAAAAATTGAAAATATGGAACATGACCAATCATTAGAAAATTGTTAGATTGTAACCAGCCATGTTTAGCAAGACACGAGCAAGTTCCACTAGCTTTGCCTCCTGCCAACCTTTCAGAGTATGTATGCCCGAAAATTTTGGTTTACCTACTGAAATTGCTTGTGTAATATTATAGCTCCCTGCCTTGGAGTGTCTCAACTTTTAGGAATCGGAACAGGTGGACTTCCCACCATTTGTACTCCCTCCGTCCTAAAACATTATTCCCGTTTTGGTTTACAACGTTTGACTGAAGTTATTTACAATTCAATTTAATCTATTTTAGGTGTAAAGTTATATATTTAAAAACAACACCTAAAGCTCTAAAAAACAAGAGGTGACATGACTACAATATTTTATCAAATGACTAATGAAAATAGGTAAAGAAAGTGATTATAGGTTGACCATGTGAATAGTAAATAGTAAGCGGGAAAGAGTTTTAGAGCAGAGAGAGTATAATCCTTTCAATTATTTGAGTCACGGATTTGGAATTCCGTTACTTCAAGTCTTCAACAGTGGGCTTTGTTATTTACTGAGATGCTCCATTGCTGTTCTTCATCGGCAACCTCTTCTTAGCAATGATTTGTGACCAGTTGGTAGAGGAATCATCGTACAGTCCCATTAAGAAATCAAACAGCTTGAATCCTCATGGAGTCACGGGATACCGTAGTGTCTGAAGAGTGGGAGAAGATTTTGAACGGCTAAGCATTGAGACGTGTAGGGGGAGCAGCCTGGAGGGGGACCAAGCGGTGCAATACCATGGGTGTATGCAGGCTGTGGATTGTAGAGCAGGTGCCACTTTACAGTAGGTGGGACCGTGGGATAAAAGTTGGATTTACCTACTTGTATGGGTTTGTGGTGGGGGGGGGGGGGGGGCNGGCTCATATAAGGTCCAGGATTAGTTGGGTGAAAGATCATATCCTCAATTATTGGAAAAATAGAATACCGAACAACTACTCCGTATTCTTTTACTTGTATTTCATTCAAAGGTTATCAATTTTGCAAGTACCCATACCACACACCTCACTTCGATGCCATGTAGTCATCACTGGTATTTCTTCCCATAGTCCACACAACTTGGTGTAGGAAGGCTGGAAAAGTTTGCTTCTCTTGTCGAAGAAGATTAATAGCCTAACATAGTGTGTATGCCTGGGGTGAACTTCCTTTTGCCTAAATGCTACTAATCTTTTTTCTAAATCCGTAGTTGTAGTTGTGTTGTTTTCATCCTTATTGTTCATCTTTTCTATGTAGTTCTAATTTTTGTTTGTTTGCTTGAGCCGGGGGTATTTCAGATATAAGCTCTCATCCTTTTTAGAATAAATATCTGCTGGCATTTTTAGATTATGCATCAATGCTGAATATGATGATCAATTTCCCTATTTTTGTTTTTTCCGTTAACGTGCTTCACCAATTAGTTTGTTAAAATTGTCAATTTGTTCATGCATTAATGGGTGGCTAATTTGTGCATAATATATCTGTGATTTATGGCTTGTTTCCAGGAGATGGCTTTTGATGAGACAACTGACCCGGCGTAATGTACAGATCTCAGTCATGAATGACGGAAACCAACAAGAACAAAGAGAACAATCTCGAAAGGATTATGTAATTATGTAAAGTCTTGGTTAATAGCTAAATACCACAAACGAATGTCCTCCTACAGTGGACACAAATGGTTATTTGCCTCATGAATTGTTTTTTTATTATTCCCTCTGCTTGTGACTATAGTGAAGTTTCAGTTAATCTGTATATGCTACTGGGGTATGGGATGGTATTCTGCCCAATAAAATGAAATGGATTGCACTTTGGGGGAGTTCAATCAGGGTAATATGGAATTACCTCTTGTTAGCCATCCAGTAAGAAACTGGACAAGTTATTGAGTATATTAGAGGGCATTTATTTTCACATCATTTATTTACGATACCAACACGACACCACTTCATTTAGGGCACCGTGCATGTGTAAAATTGATAGTTTTACCTCTTTGAATCTTCTTGTACCATGTGATCGTTGATTTGGCAACATTTATTTGATGCGAAATTGGCGTTAGGCTAAAAGAGTTTATTATACGTTTGATAAATAATTAAATGTACTCTCTATAATAAATATCCCTTCCTTTTCTAAATCAAATTCATGGAGAGATTTATGAGGTAGAATATTTTTTTAGAAGATTTTTGAATTTAAAAATTGGTATAAAAGTAAAAAATAGAATTTGTATATTTAAAAATTACATAAAAAATTTTAAATACGAAATAATAAAAAAATTATTTAATTACATTATTTAACTTTTTTATCAAATAATCAAAGAAAATATATAAATAATATAATTAATTGAGTCTTTAACAACTATTTTGAAACAACTAAATTTGTCTTAACATGTTGTGATAAAAAAATTAAAAAAATAATATAATTAGGCAATCAAAACAATAATTTCAATTGTTCAAATCACTCAATCCAAACAACTAACCTTCAACCATCAACAAAGCAATTTCCAAACCAAACCATTCCCCAAGTCTGTTCTCTCATTATGTTTGACTATTTTCAACTTGTGTACTATCCCTAGCACAAACCCCTAAATACCTATTGCTATATTTGCATGTCTTTTTTACTTTCAGAAGCCCTAAGACCCAACGCTTCCAATAAAAACCTCTTACCAATAGCAAGCCTAGCCGTTTCAGCCTTCAGGAACCACCCCCCGTCCCCAATCGATCAGCAGCTTGGAGAACTCACCGGCGGCGATATGGGCGGCCCGGAAAAGGCGGGGATTGAAGGGAAGAAGCAGCAGCCGGAAGCCCCCAAAGCGACGTCGTTTGATTTGGACGATTACAAGATTATCAAGGAAGGCGAAGCAGAGATTCTTATGCACGCCAATAATGTAGTCTTTTACAACAAAGCCCAGGTCTTTTATCTCCTTCCTTCGAAACTCCCCCCCACCCACCAAGATTCTTTCTGAATTACTGGTTAAAGAAGCTTACTTGTTTTAATGGACTCCAGTGTATTGTGTTGGGACCTTGTGTTTGGCTGCAAGATTCCTTTTTTTGGTAATTAACAGAGAAACTAGCAGCTTTATCACATATGCTATCATTAATTTAGTTTATGTGAGTGTGATTTATGCTTACTTCTTTAGGTAGAATGGATACTAAATTAGCCAGTTTTGGATGGCTCACAAAAAAAAGAAGTCATTTTTGGTGTCACATTGCAATGCTTATGGAAATATATAACCTGTGACATCATTTCTTTAGCTTTGGGGTTTTTCAGGCCTTTAGGTCCCTCCTTTTAGACAAGGAATCCCCATATTTCTGGCTTGTAAAAATTCATTCTCTACTGGTCAAAGAGCGGACCATTCCTATTTCCTAATCAAGAGTGTTCATTTTATGTTTACTTTTGAATCCCTTACCACTTCTCTTTTCTATTGTGGTATGGAGGCATTACTTTGTCAAGTGTTATAATTATTACGCCGTATAAATAAAGTAAAAAAACTGTGACAGTTTTAAATCTGGAACATCAGGTTAACAACAGAGATATGTCTATTGCCGTTCTGAGAGAATTTATAGTAAGACGGAAGCAAGAGCAGGAAGCACTTGTGGCAAGAAAAACAAAGACAGCTTCAAAAGATACAGATAATTCTGATACTAAGCTTGGTTCTCCAGTCCATTTTGATCAGGATAATGGAGCACCAAACAATGGGCATGAAGTCACAAAAGAGATGTCTCAGGATGAGCAGTGTAGCATTTCAGAAGGACCAACAAAGAGTCTGGGGGGAAAATGCAGAGAGCTGAAGCCACCACGGATCCTTGAGGTTTCATCATAACTTTGCCATACTTATTTATTGCTAGTCTGGAGGATTTAAAAATGTGACGCTGTTTTTGGCTTGTATGTAATGACTCTTGACAGGCACTATCAGCTTCGGGTTTGAGGGCTTTACGATATGCACGTGAAATTGAAGGGATTGGTCAAGTTGTTGCCTTGGACAATGATCCGGGTAAATGATCTCCTACCTTTTGCAGTGTGTAAGGATATAAAAATGAATGAGGTGTTTTCCCTCGTTGCCTTAAAAATAAGAGTTGGATACAATCTTGCTGGAATCAAATGGTAGATAATACTCCCTGTTATAGCATTGATGAGTTGTGTGGTCCTGCGTATATGCATTAGAAGTTGATTAAGAATGCATTTAAACTTTGTGTCATCTTATTTCATGAGTGGAAATGATTTCCCTCTTTTTGCAGCCTCTGTTGAAGCTTGTCAGAGAAACATAAAGTTCAATGGTTCTGTGGCCTGTGCAAAGGTGGAGTCTCACATTGACGATGCTCGAGTTTACATGCTCACTCATCCAAAAGATTTTGATGCGGTACGGGGATATAAATGATAATTTCTGTACTCTTTGATAATAAAAATAATATTTAAAGGCAGCCAATTAGTTGTTTCTAGTATACAATTGTTTCTTTCTGTGCTGAACTCATACATACGTATGAGATCAATAATTTTATTTGGAGCATAACAATCTTTACTACCTAAAGTATCTTGTTGTTCGTGTAACATTTTTCTGGTTGAATAATATCAGGTTGACCTTGATCCATATGGTTCTCCCTCTGTGTTCCTTGATGCTGCTGTTCAATCAGTTGTTGATGGAGGCATATTAATGTGTACTGCAACCGATATGGCAGTGCTGTGTGGAGGAAACGGAGAGGTTTGCTATTCGAAGTAAGGTTCATATGACACTTTCTTTTAATTGAAAAAATTTCTCTGTAATTCTTATTGAATTTGATGGTGGCTAAACGTGGACTTACTTGATACACATGTACAACCAGGTATGGCTCCTATCCACTTAGAGGGAAATACTGTCATGAAATGGCATTGAGGATACTTCTTGCCTCCATTGAGGTATGATTTTTCTGTGTTAGTTTTCATATCTGAGAGCCAACAATTCAAGTTCTCATAAATATAGTTTTTTTTACTTGATAATTTGATTAACTATGCCCTCTGCTAAGCATTGGTACATGTCAACAGTTTGCTGTTTCACTGTTATATATGGTTCCACCTGAAGGGTGGGGGTGGCGGGGGGATAGGGGGGAGTGAGGGAGAGTAAATATCAAATTATCACCTTGGTTTGTGGATCTACAGAATGCGACCATACTTTAAATTTAGAAGATTGTTTTTGCTTTGGGGGGATTGGAAGAAAGTATCTTTTACTAAGCTTAATAATGTGGGGAAACTCTTGTGGACTCTTTCTCTGCTTATTTGTATGAAAATAGACTAGAGAGTTTGTTGTTAGTTCTTTCTTTTAATGAAATAATGTTTATGCTTAATCTTCTTCTCTTAAACTATATTGCATCACCATCTTTTAAAAATTCTATTTCAGAGCCATGCAAATCGACACAAAAGATATATTGTTCCCATATTGTCAATTCAGATGGACTTCTATGTCCGGGTCTTTGTCCGTATCTATACGTAAGTAGTTTTTCCTTTATTATTGGTGCTTCACTTTGGCCAGTTGAGAAATATGCATAAAGCATCAAACATCAAGTATGTCTTAGATTATCTGTTCCAGATGTCAGTCTATTTTTGAGGCCTTAACTTTCAAAGAACTGTTTGCAGTTCAGCAAGTGCTATGAAAAACACTCCTTTAAAGCTTTCATACGTGTATCAGTGCATTGGCTGTGATTCTTTTCATCTGCAGCCAATTGGAAGAACTGTCTCAAAGGTATTATTTTTAATGTTCATTTAATCTTCATAACATTTTTCCCACATTCTTGCTACAAAAATGGGACCAGGATGTAATGTAACAATCCTTTTTGTCTGTTATCGGTTTTTATTTTCGTGGCTTCCCAGATGTTTGACCCAAAATTATGTTCTATTTTTCTTCTGTGCTTTTCATGAGTGAGGATGAGGTGGAAGCCTAAGCATTTAACCATTACGTGTTATGCATTTTGAGATTACATAGTTGTTTTTTTTGCCTTCCCCTAGAACAACAGTGTGAGATTTCTTCCTGGGTTTGGTCCCACAGTACCACAAGAGTGCAGTGATTGTGGTAAGAAGTTCAACATGGGTGGACCTATATGGTCTGCTCCCATTCATGATCAGGAATGGGTGGCTTCCATTCTTGCTGATGTAAAATCAAAAAAGGATCGCTATCCAGCTTATGAGAAGATCTATGCTGTACTGACAACAATTTCAGAGGTTTGCTTCTCTATGAAACTGCACATCCTACAATCAAAATTATTCTATCTCAAATATTATTTATGGAGAGATTATTGCTTCCTTGCTATTAGAGATTGGGCTTTAGCTTGACACTCAATCTTGGCGAGGCCTGATCAAGGGTATACCCTGCCTTGGGCGGGTGGTTTCTTTCCATCACCATAGCTTTTTTTTCCCTCTTCTTTTTCGTATTATTCTTTTTCCAACGTCTTTGCAAAGACGGTGGGGAAGGGCTTGCATGAACAATATACACATCTGCCTGATGATTTGTTAACTCCGGGGTGGGGGAGCCACCGGAGCTTCGCATCTCAGGCAAGGCAAATGAGAAGAGTAAAGAAGCAGATAATAAAAATACTCCCCCCTTCCCACAAAGATTTTCACTCTTTAGTCTTTACTATTCAAAAACCACGGGAACTGTTTATTTGTGTGTTTTCATTGATTATTTGATGAAACAAAATATTCTTGTCATCTCTTGTTTTGTAGATCTTTTGATTTACTTTTTAAATATGCAAGTTTTTTTTTTTATTTCTATACCAATCTTTAAATAAATAAATTAAAAAAACCTGGGATTTTACTTTTCGCGTAAAGTGTAATTCATTTTGGGACAGAGGGAGTAGAACCACGAAACTATTCTAGCAATTCAGGAGTAATCCTCTGTTGTTTTTACTCTATGCACTCTTGCTTGTTTCATTATTGACTCAAAACACTCATTTGTAGCTGGGGGGGGCTCAACAAGGAATAAAAAAACCGCATCTATAAACCAAAAGAGAATGTACCAATTTGAAAAACAAATCAGCCATATCATATAGACTTCCATATTGAAATTAAATTGAAAGCCGACTTGACTTGATCATTCTTGTTTGCAGGAATTACCAGATGTTCCTTTGTTTCTCAGTTTGCACAATCTCTGTGCGACGCTCAAATGCACTTCTCCCTCTGCCGTTATATTTCGCTCTGCAGTCCTGAATGCAGGATATCGTATATCAGGAACTCATGTGAATCCTCTTGGGCTTAAGACAGATGCTCCCATGGAAGTCATATGGGATATAATGCGGTGCTGGGTAAGTCGATTGTGTGTGCGTGACCCATGAATACGTATGGATGAAGTAAAGATAATAATGTGTGATCTTATAGAGAACTGGGACATGAACTATATATACTACTCTTGTAATTGCTTTTTGTATGTAGGTCAAAAATCATCCCGTGAAAGCTCAATCACCTGAACTGTCTGGGAGCATTATTCTTTCCAAAGAACCTGTTCTGCAGGTACTTTTCCTATGATATTCTGCATATTATCTCCTGCTAATTATTTCCCAAACCAACAACAAACCCAGTAGAATCCCACAAAAAAGTATGGTCTAGGGAGGTTGTGTATGTGTACGCAGACCTTACCCTATATGTGAATTGAGAATGGTGCTTAGTGCCTACATGTGATTTTTTTTTTTTTGAAAAAATGTTTAAAACTGGATGTGCTAAAAAAAGGTTTGCTTCATCTTTTTCATCTGTTTTAGGCAAACTTTTCACGGGCGGTTGCATCACTGAGCAAGGCACAGGCAAAGAAGGTTGCACGTTTCCTTCCCAACCCGGAACGGCATTGGGGCCCAAAACTCAGAGCAGGCCGGCAGATCACTAGCAAACATGTTTCTCTCTTGGGCCCAGAAGCAATGAATGGATTAATCAACAACAGCCAAGACGAAGACAGTGAAGAACCTGCAGCAAAGCGTACGAAGACAGAAGATCCTGTTCTTGATTCATAGAGTTAATTAATCTCTCAAAATTTAAATGTCTTGCTCTCCCATGCCAAGTTTTTGATCTGATAATATGTTAACTCTGCTGCCATTCACTTGCTCAGAGAAGGAAGAAGCAGACCATTCGAGCGAAGTTGTTTCATCAAACGGAAGAGATCACAGCCCAGTGTGTTAAAATTTTGAATCCTCAAGGAAAGTCTTGTTTTATTTATTCGCGTGTTTTATTGCTGCCCGTTTCTTTATCTCCTGTGTACACACAATATTTATTTCAGTGTTTTCGATCAGCTATGAATCATGAACTCCCGATGTGCCTGGAAACAGAGATCATCGCCGTATACAGGAATTGTTATTCCTTTGAGAATTGTAAATTGACAAATTGTAGCTCGGAGTTTGAAAATTTCCTTAACAGTTAGATGTTAAAATTTTCAAGTTTGTAGGCGGCGAAGCTAAAAACTACGAGTAACAGTTTCAAATTAGTTGAGAGCTAAGCGAATCTCGTTATAAATACAATCGTATTTATAATTATATGCACACTCCGTATTATAGGTATTACTTTTATTTAAAAAAAGACAATCCGGTCTTACCGGTCCGATCCGGAAACGATCCGATCTTGGACCGGTTTGGAATTTTACCGGTCTAGCCCGGAACCGGTTTTTCCGGTCCGGTCCGGTCCGGTTTTCCGGTCCGACCCGGATTTTGTACACCCCTAGCCTTCGTGATTGGCTCAACAATAGATTTTAACCTACTGACTAGGGCTGGATCCGGGTCTTGTTCTGAACCAGTNGGGGGGGGGGGGAGGCATGGGAGCAAAGGTAAAAGAAATTCTATAAATACCTATCAGTTTTTTATTCAAAAGATTATACAATTATTTCTCTCATACTCTTCTCTATTTTCTATTTTCTTATTATCTTATATATTCATATTATTAATATAAATATATTATAATATATTGATAATTTCATATTATAAATTTTAATATTAGAATTGTTTGTGGGTGGGAGTACAATACAAATATATTATATTAATATATTATCTATTTAAATTTTATATTATTCAAAATATCGCATAGAAAGCCCGTCGATTTGGGGAGTTTGAATAAAAAAAATTCAAATAGAGGCAAAGCCACCGCCATGTCCGAAGGTTCAAGCTCACATGTCTCCCACCGCTCTGTCTTGACTATTTCAGGAATCCGGAGAATATGTAGCCAAAGTTATGGATGACCAAGAATTTGATCGTTTATTGGGATCCTGGAATGATGTGCGTCTTGAAAGTCTTGACGAGTTCTTCGAGGACGAGGAGGTGGAGATGGAGGAACCAACTCTCGAGAGCAACGTCCCTGTAGGGGGAGACATAGTTTGTAATATTTTACCGCAATATATGTAAACTTAACGCAATATATGTAAACTTTGACCTCAATATAAGAAAAAATATATTGTGTTTCAATCTAAATGTAATATCAATGCTTCATTATGAAACTTAGTTTTGAAATATTAAATTTTCATAATATTGTCCATGTATAAATATAGATATTAGAATTCATAGTATTCAATTTAAAATCGTGAAGAGTCAAATGGGAAGATTATTTTTGGACAGATGGAGTACTTGTTTTCTTTTATTTACTTTTGTATCTTTAATTCTTTATAAATTTAAATTTGTATAGGTATATTATAAAAATATCATAATATGTTATTTATATTAGAGTAATATAATATAAATCTATTCTATTATTATATTATTTTTATAAAGTTCTATAATACCCAAAATACCATGGGGAAGGTCCGTCGATATGGGAAGTCTGATCCTGAAAAAATCAAGGAAACATAATTTCACCACCATGTCCAAAGGTTCAAGCTCCTAAGTCTCCCAACCGAGGCACTCTATCTCGGGCTTCCCTGAAGAATATCTGAATGATGCCATGGACGACAATGATCTTTTTGAGTACATGGGGTCGCAGACACATCTTGACATGAATCCCATGAGTTCAATCGGCGAGGAGGACGACAAGGACGAGATGATGAATCCAACTCCTAAGAGCAACGTCTCTACTAGGAGAAGTGAGCCCGAGACCTTAGCACATCCGGAGAGAGGTAAAAAAACTTGCTTTAAGATGCATAGTGAAAGAAATGAAAATGCATACGATCCATTGAATTTACGATCTAAGGGCTCTTAAAAATCATGACCTTGAAAAAATGAAAAAAATTGTGGTGGTAGTTTTGTAAATAAAAAAATTTACATTTAATACGTATTAATAAATTCTTTTCTATTAGAACTTCAAAATATTTGAATATGTGAGTTAAATCATCCATAATAGATATATTAAATCGAAAGCTATTAAGAGAGGAAACAGAGGTTGGACCCGAAACATCAAATATATTGATCGAATGGTAAACAATAAGACTTTGATACATTAAATGACTCAAAGTGTAATGGATTAGAAAACTAAATACCTAAAGACGACAAAATTGTCATGTCAATAGCAGGCATTGGGCCACCGAGTCTGCGATGTCAGGTGGATGTTTTGATGGCTCGACACGCAATGGATGGAGGTTGGGATGAGAGAGTGTACAATCCATGCTCACAGCGGCCCATATGCCACACCTGGTCCGTAACGTTGTCCACTATCTGGAAATTATTAGCATTAAAAACAGGGGTATAGTTATTGTTTTTGGTGAAGTAATATAGAGATAATATATTGGATGTAAGAGAAGGAACATGATTTAGGGAGGTGAGGTGATATTTACCATTAGGGGTGTTGGGGGTAATAATGATAACGCAAATCAATCGAGAATCGTGTATAGCACTTTCAGCTTGAATATTTTGGTTGTTCAATCCAAAATTCAATCGAATAAAACTTAAAAGTAACAAGAACGAGTATGAGATTGTTGTGAATTTTTCGAACTGTGTTTCGACCAAAGGTTTCTGGAAATTTATAGAGTTGCGGAGGAGAAGAAAAGATGTGATCATGTCTTTTATCAAAGACGCGTGATCCTTCATGTGAAACTTTGAACATATCGGTGCTATCTTTTAACGAATTTTCTTTTTAAAGAAAACTCAAAAAATAAAAAATCAAATGAACTTTTAACATAGCACTTTGCCCAAAATAAAAATTTTCGAGCTGACCTGTACCCCGGCCAGGGGCTCTGCCACTTGGACCCTGCAAGGGCTGCCACCCCTTGAATCCTGCTCGATGCGCTGCCCCCGAACCCCCGCCAAAGGGGCGCTGCCCCCTGGAACCCCTGTTAAAACGGAACTTTTATCCAAACAAACTCAACGAAGCGTGCACTCCGCACCACTAAACTTCTTTGATGATTATTAGGATACCATTGGTCAGAGTTTTTCCAATTAAACTAAAATATATAACAAGGAGTATGGACATATCTTGAACCCGTGTGAGTTATGGGTAAGGTGTGACCATTACCTACAGTGATAGTTTCAGTGCCATGATATGAAGTAGAAGACTATAGCTGAGATAGATCATGCGTAACATGAATATTGACACATATACCAAGATATCAATCCCCAGATTGACAGATGGTCGTAGCATGCATAGTGTGGGATGTGTTGGCCGAGTTAATTCTTAGTATAAGAGTCATCAAAACGATACCAGCTTGCAGCAGTAAAGTGACCTCGCTTATCACAGATTTTACATATCAGAAGTTGACGTGATGGTCCGCGGCCTCCCCCCTCAACCGTTTGTTCGACCGCAACGGGTAGGGCCATTCTCGCGACCACAGGGCGGTCGAATGCGATCTCGACCGCCTGAAGAGAAAAGTATCGTATGAGTTCCTTCAGAAGTTGAATCAGCCATGCTCAGTTTTTGTTCCATCTCAAAATTAATTTCTCTAGAGATGAGACATCCAAAGAGCTCAATGAGAGAGATATTTTCATTCTTCATTCAAATTTTCTATTTAAAAGATGAATATTTGGCAGGAAAACCACAGATGACAACATTCACCTCATCACGTTCGGGGATTTCTACATCAAATAGGGAGTACATCAGGGAGTTCTTGACATGGTAAGAAAAGACTTATAGTAACAATACATTACAATAAGAAATGAAATACTCCCTTTGTCCTAAAATTAATTTTTTATTTGACTTTTCACGGTTTTCAATGTTTCTATGATCATTAATATCTCAATTTTTATATAAATATATATTATAAAAATAATATATTTCAAAACTATGTTTCAAAAAAGAATCTATTAATAATTTTTATGAAAATTTAATATATTTTTCTGTAATATATGATCAAAGTTTAAAATTTTTTTAACTCAAAGTCAAACTAGAATATTAATTTTAGGATAGAGGGAGTAATAAGAAATGGTAATTGAACTTGATATTATTTCCTACGGAGTACTATTACATAGGTAAAGAAGAAAATGAGCCACTCTTCAACTAGCCACCCATAGCTCGGGGATGTGGATACCATGGTCAGGACTCAGGAAGTCTCGTACGATCAGAAGGGAAACAGATTTAAGCAGAAATTGTGTAATGTACAGGCATAGCCATTTGATCAAGCTTGGACTTAACACTAATGCCGTATATGCCACAAAGCTCATTACCCTCTATTTGTCCTCAGGGCTTGCCAACTCCCTGAGTCACGCCCACCAGCTGTTTGATGAAGTGCCTGTGAAAGACCCACCATTGTGGACCTCTCTCATAGCTGCTTATGCTCGTCACAATCAACCTGACAATGCCCTCCATCTCTTCTTCCTCATGCTCCGTCAGTCCAAACCAGATTTGGAAGCCTGGCTCAACCACTTTGCAGTCACTGCTGTTGCCCGTGCCATTGCATCAGCTCCACAACACCTCTTATTTGGCCACGTTCTTCATGCTTGTATCATAAAAACTGGAATTGTTCCAGGTAAAGTCGTTGTTGGAACTTCTTTTCTTGATATGTATTCTAAGTGTGGGGCCGTGGAGTCTGCAAGGAAGTTGTTTGAGGACATGTCGTACCGAAATCATGTGACATGGAATGCCATGTTGTCTGGGTACATGCAAAATTCAATGGAATCTCATGGGTTAATGTTGTTTTATCGGATGAAGTGTGGAGAATTCATTGCTCCAGATGAGTATAGCATTTCAACTGTGATGTCTGGTTGCGCACATGTTCAAGATCTTGTTTTGGGTATGCAAGTTCATGGATACGCCATCCGTGGAGGATTTGAAGTAAGTTGTGCCAATTCCATCGCTAATATGTATTTTTCATGTGGTAGGATTGTGTGTGCTAAGATAATTGTTGATGTTGTGCACAAGGACATGGTTTCGAAGCTTTTAAGCATTAGGGGTTATATTTTAAATCACAGCTATGTTGATGCATTTAGATATTTATGCTCTTTGGATAATATAGTTGAAATTTTGAACACGGATTATACAATTTTTGTGCCTCTGCTTACTCTGTGCACAAAATTATCTCTGGTCCGAGTTGGGAAGCAAGTCCACGGCCTCTTTATTGCTCTGGTGCATTCGAATAAGACTATTAAGTCCTTAGATGAGAACGGGACAATAATTGGTTGCACATTAATTGAGATGTATCGCAAGTGTGGTGATGTTGCTGAAGGAAAGAAAGTTTTTGAAACATGGCCGTGGGAACAACATGTTTCACTCTGGAACGCAGTAGTATCTGGCTACATACAGAATGGCCTTATTGAGGCTGCTAGCGTGCTGTTTGAAGTGATGCCCGAGAAAGATGTTGTTTCTTGGACTAGCATGATGACAGGGTTCGTGCAGAACGACATGCCTCAAGAAGGACTAAATTTACTGGGTAAAATGTATTGCTCTTCTGAAGAAGGATATGGAGTTGATGGGAACTCCTTGACTTTTGTAGTAGGCCTTGAAGCATGCACCTGTTTAACGGATTTGGAAAGGGGGAAGCAGATACACGCAAAAATCATCCGCAGATCACCCGGTTCTGGTGCTAATAATAATGTGGTTGTTGGAACAGCTTTGGTGGAAATGTATTCAAGATCGGGTAGTTTGCATTATGCCCGAAGAGTTTTTGATTCAATGGAACAGAAAAATGTCGTTGCATGGACATCCATACTCACAGGTTTCGCAGCTCACGGATACGGTTTTCAAGCGCTTGAAGTGTTCCAGAAAATGCTGAACAATGGAATCAAACCAAATGCGGTGACATTTGTTGCAGTATTGACTGCTTGCAGTCATTGTGGTTTGGTGGATGAGGGACTCCGATGTTTCAAGGAAATGAAAAATTACGGATTGATTCCAGAAGAAGATCATTACACATGTTTAATCGATATGTTGGGGAGACATGGGAGGCTTGAAGATGCATGGCTTTTGGTGAACAGAATTCAAGGGCAAGCTGATGGGGCTTCATCTGGTGCCATTTGGGCAGCACTGCTCGGGGCTTGTCAATTATATGGAAATGTAGAAATTGGAAGAAAAGTAGCGCCGAAGATATTAAAATACGGAAACCAGAATTCTAGGGCTCATATTGCATTGTCTAATGTCTATGCAGCAGCAGGTATGTGGAATGAAGCATATGGAACAAGAAGGGCACTTCAGATCAGCGAAGGCGATGCCAATGGAGAGGCTGCCATTAGCCGTGTCTGCGTGCCTCCTCTTCTTTCATGAGAACTTTCCAAGTCTATTATATATATAAAAGTAGAATCAAAATTGAGTGAAATCCTATCCAATTTCTGCTCCAATTTCAAGGAATCTGACGGCTCAATTTTATCCTAAATGACCAAATCTGGCCGTCAATTACGAACGTCGGTTGATTTGGATTTTTTCGTGAAGATTTGCAACGTTTTCTCTCCACCCGACGAGTCCCTTGGTTTTCCCTACTGCGGATTCTCCTCTACTGGCCCATCATCACCAGATTCTCCTCTGCCGGGTCTTCCAAATTACAATCCCGACCACCTTTACTTTGTCTGGTGTGTCCCTGACATCGCGGGCACCTTTTGAGTCGCAATCTCTTCCGAGGTATGGCGTGTCGGTGTTATATAGAGTATGATGATAATTCATTGATATTATATGAAAAGGTTCCATACGTTTATCCTCCTTGATAATAATTACTTTCATCTTTGTTTAACTGCATATTCAATAATTGAATTTAATCTCTGCAGATTTTTGCTATCTGTCAATCCGTGTTTTCTTCCCCGTGATGGAATTGTTGTTACTCAGGCGGGCAGTCGGAAAGGGAAGAAAAATATATGATTTTGTTTTGGATTTCAATGTTTTGTTTGGGTGCTGTACTTTGGCGTTATGCTCCTAAGTCAATTGATTGTACATATTAGGTCAGAACAGATTCAGATGTCTCATATTTTGAAATCCATTCGAAGCTTTTCTCGCTTAACAGTTCAAGACTAAACTCAAAGATTCAAATTTCTAAAATTTAAAGTAAAAAAAATTACAATATATGTGCTGACTTGGAATCAATTGAGTGGATTTTATGTTGCCTAAAGGAATTGCAGGTCAATCGATGCTCAAGCTCCTGGGCTAGGAAGAGAATAGAAGGTAATCACACTCTTTCACTTTCTGTTGAGTCAAATTTCTTTAGTAGATTCTGTTGCATCCATGAAATAAGAATAGAAGGAGATACTGTTATTATCAGCCCTCAAGACCATGGCTATAGAGGATAGTCAGATTGACTGTGGCCCTTTGTACTTTTGTGTTCATTCCACATTTGTTGGCTAACTTAGTTAACTTTAGCTGTCTGTGGCCCTTTGCACTTTTCTAGCTTCTACACAAATGAAATGAATGATATATTAAATTGGTTTATGAAGTTAGAACTAATTCTTACAAGCTGAAACAGTTAGTCTCAATCATTTTATGATATAAACTAAAATGAAACATATTTAGACTTTAATTAAAATTTGTTGGAGTACTAATACAATGAATGAAAATATTTTACATTGACTGGAAATTATGCAGGAGCACATATGAATTTATTTGAATTTTCATATTAACATGTATGCTTTATTAGGTTTTTAGGATTGGCTATAAGTGAAAGTGAACAAGTTAAGGGAAAGGCGGGTAGAAACAAATGACCTTAACCCTGATTCCAGGCAGCAGATCATGGAAGAATTAGCTTCTTGAGATGATTTCATCACGAGCATCTGCAGCCTGGTTTTTCGCTTAAGTCTGAATTTGTTTTTTTAATTATGATTATGTCAAGCCTTATGATGCTTATCAGCATGTGTTACAATGGGGAGTTGTAGCTGCCAAAGGTACTGGTAGCGACATTTTGGGAACATTGTCATGGTAGTTAAATTACATTTTGTATAATTTATAGGATGTAGACTCACTTTTTAACTGCTTTAACTGATATCTACGTAATCATTTAAGCTACTGTCACAAATTGATGCAAAGGGATTGCGTTGATGTTGAGTGAATAATTTAATATGAAAGGCGGCATTCTTCCAGGTAAAAATATCACTGAAGACTGAAGTTTGAATAGAAAAACAGGTAGATGGTATATCAATAAGGTTTGCTTCAGTGAGTGTTGATTTTGGTGGAGATTATTTGTGTTGATCAGGGTGTTGGGATGAGGTTTTTGGCATTCCATTATGGTTTCTGATTTTTTTTACTATGCCTTTTTGCTCATGGTTATTGTTTATAACTATGAAGATGCCTACATCTGGTTATGGCTTTTTGCATTCATTTCCTTTTCTTATTGGAATCAAATCTGAAAAAAAAAACAGCTTTAAATATAACTACACCAGACCAAATCAAATCAGGCCAGATCAGATTAGGACTTATTTTAATCAGATCAGAACCATCCAGATCAGGTGAAGAAAACATGTCTAAACACTTATATACTGAAGGTTTGTTGTTATTAGGTTTAGTCAAGATTTTATGGTTGGACATAATATTCTGACTTCTTTTGGCTCTGATCTGTAATAGATTCTGTCAATTCAAAATAGGGAGTACTAGGATTTGTTGGTTTTACATTTGTTTCTCACTAAAACCAGTTGGCCGATTCTATTTCTAGTACTTTATTTTCACAAATTAACTCTTTAATGTTTCAAAACAATCAAATGAGCTCTTTATTGTAAAAAAAAAACCCTAGACTGACTCGTAAACCAATCAAGGAAATCACAAGACTGTAAACCATACCACAAGACTTTTACCGAGTAATTAAATAGTGCGTAGTAAATCTTAGCTGCTGTGGTATATCCTACTCGGTAATATATACTCCTATAAGGCTACAACTATTGATTACTACAGAGTACATACTTCGTCGTCTTAAATGCGGATTACTCATAAACGAAAATCATATTCTATGGAATTAAGAGTCCGTTTGGTAAATATAGTCTATAATATTCGACCTGGAAAATACGAAACAATTTGGTATGTCCCACTGTTCCAGTGTGAACATTTTATTTAAGAAAATTTACTTTAGCACTAAAACATAATGATTTTTTTCTAAATAGCATCACATGTGTTTTTTCTAATGTAGCACTTTTAGTCATTATGCATTAGTCATTATTCAAGTAAATATCACCCTCACAGGACATTATGAACATTATTAAGTGTTATTTGTAGAAGAATAAAATAACTTAAGTGGTACTTAGGATAATAACTTAAGTTTTAATGCTTTTTAGTGCAAATATATCTTTAATATAAAATATAAACATAGATTTTTTTTAAATGTTAACCCTAAAACTAAATTGAAAATTTTATACAAATATTTTTTTTGAAAATCTGATATAAAAGTGCAATAGAAACATGCTTAAACATTAAAAAAACACAGAGTAACATTTTAAATTACAAATCTTATAAAATTGGATTAAAAAAAAGTAATATGAATGAATATTTGGGTATAGAGACAAATACACCGGACAATAAGACAAAAAAAATAATACTCTATTTTTTATTTGTCCCAGTCTCGTTCTACTTTAAATCGGTTCTGGATGGGTATAGAATGAAATTTTATAGTCCCAAATGAAATATGACATACATAACTAGAATATTTCAAAACGAGACAACGGGATAAAGATTTCTGCCCATCCCTAAAGAAAACACCATGCAAGTATTAAATGTACATGCAAGTATTAAAGGTACATACATCAATGTAATAACGTGCATGTTTTAAGTATAAAGAAAAAAATAAATGTGCAAAATGAGTTTATGTTTGCATATAAATAAACACAAACCGAATATACAATAAGCACCGTGATGGTGTAAATTATCGACCGGTATATCGTTTTTAGCCCGGCTAAAACGATAAACTAGTCTAAAAAATACACCAAACTATAAACACGAGGATTTTTACGTGGAAACCCAAATCGGGAAAAAACAACGGGCCTTTTTTGGCGGTACCTTGCCGACGGGGAATTTTTATTAATATCATGGGTGTATACGTGGTACATGATTTAGGCATAGAAGCCATTAATGGAAGTTATGGAAGCTTGAAACTTCTTTAAAGAAATAAACTACCAAATTTCTAGAGAGAGAGAGAGAGGAAGTTGGCAGGGGAGAGTGTTTTATTGGCCTCCCTTAACAATTAGGGCAACCCTCCCTTTTATAGGAGAGGGTGGGAGCATCTACGGAGGAATATTCTCTTATTCCTCTATTTTATTAAACAGGCCCGGTTTGACTGCTCTTCGTAAATAATTGGGAAATGTGGGCCGAGCCACGTATTATTTCCCATTAAGGAGTCCTCCATTTTTTTTAGTTGTGAGAATCATCAACTTAAAAAAGTAAATAAGTCCTCCGAGTGTTATCTTCAATCTTCAAACTTTGGATTCTTGACCGGTTGATATTATTTCTAGTCCTCCGAGTCTTCATTAATTCTCTAATTTCTTGAATTAGAAGTTTTTCCTGCAAAAAATAATATGTACAATATTTTTTTTGACCGGCCTATGCCGTGCTCAAAAAATTAATTATCTTTACCGAGGAGCTCGGTGTTAGGGTGGTTAAAATTCGCGTGAATAATTATCGTAACAAGAGCGATGTCAGTTCGATAAAGCAACGATGCTTCGAGTAGTTATACGACACCGGAGTTAGTACGATGAAGCGGCGGTGCTTCAAGTAGTTATTTCGTCGAGACCGATGTTAGTGCAAATTAAGTAAGCGATACATAGTGAAATTAGTATATCGAAGTGATCGATGTTACTTAATACGAATTAAGTACGCTGCAGCAGCTTTTTCGAAGATCGATGCTACCCCGGCTAACTGATGCAATTATCTTCATGTCATGTAGAGACCACTTCCGGAGTGCCTTGTTCAAAGGGCCTGAAGAATCGGGCGTCCCCGATAAGGGCTCAGCTGAGACACCGGGGTACCCAATTCGATTGGGTCCAGACTTACGAGAAAATATGTGCAAGACCGGTGTGTATATCATTCTTGGCCTGTCTCGCACACAAGAATGATATTTACCAACGTGCCAGGCCGGGCCTGTGTCACATATTTTAATATTTTTTTTATTATACTGAGCGAGACCGGTGTAGTAACCAGCGTGCCAAAAATAAGTCCCATAATTTTGAGACCCTCTCTAGTGGGTGGGCCACTGGGAATTATCTCTTTTTTTCTTTGTCCAATTGTTTATGGAGTATTGCATGTGAATCAAATATGCCCACCAAATAATTTGAAATTGAGCCTCCACCAGTTGTATTTGGATCATATCCCTTTACTGTGCACATCACATTAATTTTTGAGATTCTCCTTGTCTTCTTCCTTTTAACTTGCCGTGTTATTTGAGGCCCGATGAAGAAATAAGTGAGGGATCAACCCACGTAGCCCAGTAGCTTTTTTTTGGATCAAAGCTAATGTTTTACTCTTTACTTTGTTGGCCAGCAAATTTCCGTAGCTCTTTCTTTCTTGTTTGAGATGACCAAGTAGGGCCACATCCTTCTTATATTGATCAAATCCTGTTGTGAGGACAAGAGAAAAGATACAAAGAGCAAAGCCCATCATGCACTCATTTTTTTCAGCACAGTAGCACAACCATGTGATCTTGATCTACTTTCCGGCGTCAGGCTTTGATGCAAGCACGGGGTAGATTTCATTCGAGGTTCGAGACCTCTAGACGTCAACGACGTCGGCGCATGAGTGGTGGCTGGCCTCAACGACGTCGCTGCAGAGCGGTTGTTTCAGCGACGGCTGCGATAGTTGTTGGCTTCCGTGGTAACGACAGCGGACCTCAACGGGAGTGCGGGTGCGTGTATATTCGGCAGCTTCTGTGGCAGCAAATTCAAATGGTGACTTTGAGCACCCTGCACCCTTGCATTTGTGGATGCATGCAGGAATTCTAGGTGGCCAACAAAAGCTAGTTGGCGGCGACGGTAGTTGATTTCTACTACAACATCTAGATCTGCCCCCCTCAACGCGGTTCGTAGGCGGCGGCAAGTCTCAAGACCAGCGGCGGCGGCGGCGGATTTGAGCAGCGGTGGCAGCGATCAACTTCCTCTATTTGATAATGACTTTGGATTTTAACCGCGGCTATCCTCACCGTCCGGAGGTTGTGAGGGTGGATTGCAGCGGCGGTGGCTATGAACCTTCAGTATGGCGTTGGCGTGCGGTTGCTGGACCAGCGGCTGTGATGGACTTGGGCGGCTTAATCAGTCTATGGAGGCCGTGCGGCCGAGCAACGGCGGAAGCAAATCCCGAGAACAATGGTTGCCGCGGACGGACATATTGGACAGCAAATACGTAGATGAACTTTGATCTCTCTCTCGTTTGTGGTATTCAATGGGTAAACTCTCGGTCCCACGGGTGGCGCCAAAATGATGGCGTAAATTATCGACCGGTATATCGTTTTTAGCCCGGCTAAAACGATAAACTAGTCTAAAAAATATACCAAACTATAAACACGAGGATTTTTACGTGGAAACCCAAATCGGGAAAAAACCACGGGCCTTTTTTGGCGGTACCTTGCCAACGTGGAATTTTTATTAATATCAGGGGTGTATACACGGTACATGATTTAGGCATAGAAGCCATTAATGAAAGTTATGGAAGCTTGAAGCTTCTTTAAAGAAATAAACTACCAAATTTCTAGAGAGAGAGAGGAAGTTGGCAGGGGAGAGTGTTTTATTGGCCTCCCTTAACAATTAGGGCAACCCTCCCTTTTATAGGAGAGGGTGCGAGTATCTACGGAGGAATATTCTCTTATTCCTCTATTTTATTAAACAGGCCCAGTGTGACTGCTCTTCGTAAATAATTGGGAAATGTGGGCCGAACCACGTATTATTTCCCATCACACCGCACATTCATTTAGATATATGATACTCCCTCCGTCCAAGTTGAAAGTTTCCGTTTTGACTTGGCAGGAGGTTTTAATGTAAAGTGAAAAATGATTTGACTTTCTAATTTTGCCCCTCATCCTCTTCTTCCATCTCTCGTAATGTCTTCTTCTTCAACATAAAAAACCTAAATATCTTCTTCTTCAATAAAAATCAAATCCCTTTAGAAAAGTAAACATTCAAAAAATGAGAAGACGTAGAATAAATAAAAAATGTTCCACCCAAAAAATTCAAAGCTCCATCTCAACAAGAAATTTACAACATTTACAACTTACTCCGTAATTAGAATCTGGCCAACTCAAAAAAAACTTTTCTGACTAAAACTTCATAAATTCAGTAATAGAAAGTAGCAAAGAGTATAGATTATTGCTATTTTCACTTTGATATCTTAGCAGCCAATTCTCTCACAATCTTTGCAGCAATCATACCAGTCATCCCATCAACAGTGTCACGCTACAGATTGAACTCGACAACATCAGCAGCCACAATGTCCCTTTGAAGGTTGTGGAAAATCTCCACTTCTTCTCTCTTGATCAACTAGCAACTGCAACTTCTTCTCTCTTGATCAACTAGAAACTGCCACTTCCCCTCTCTTGCTCAACTAGATACTAACCCACTGATACTAACCCACTGTTCCTCTCTATTGCTCACTTCACAACTAGCTGTTGTCACACTTCCTCTCTTCCTCTCACTTCACAACTAGCTTAATTGGAACACCACTTCTTTTCACTCTAATGTATGATCATGGATGGTGGTAACAATCTCTCCAACCCACACCACCCAATCCCTGTCCGCTCTTATTTAAAAGCGGCCTTCATTATATTAAGTTTTCTAATCATTGTCGGCATCCTTACGTATCTCCTTCGACGGATGGTTCGCCGCATGCAACGGACGCGCGGCGCCACGCCCGCCTCCACACCCCCACCCCCATCCACACCCGTATCCGCACCTCCATCTCCACCCGTCTCCACACCCGTCTCCGCACCCCCATCCCCATCCCCATCGGCACTCTTTTCCCCATCCGCCTCTAACGGGGAGAAGCTCCCGGGTTTCATATTCAGTTCAGTCACGAGGTGCCTAACCAATGTGGAGTGCCCAATTTGCCTTACGGGTTTTGAGGAGCATGACTGGCTACATCTCATCGTCGGCATTGTCTTGTGTGGAAAGTTTCATCAAATATGGATGCTTTGTTGCGGCGATCGAACATCATGGAAAAATCCAGATCTGGAATCAAGATGAAGCGAGCTTGGACGGATCTAGTCATATTTTATGAGATCTGAAGAAGAAAGTAGAAAGACATGGAGAAGAAGGGGGAGCCAAGAAGAAGTAGAAGAAGAATCAAGGTAGGGGGGAAGAAGGAGAAGGGGGGATGGGGGAGAGAAAGAAGAAGAAAAATGAGGGGTAAAAGAGTAAGTTTAGGTGTATTTTTATTCCATTTTAAGAAATGGAAGGAATCAAATGGGATTGCCCAAAAAGGAAAGTGAGAAGAAAGATATAAGACGGAGGGAGTATAAAAACTTGAAGAGTCGCTTAAGGAGCAAAAGTGACTATTCAATTGCATTTTTTGGGCCAAAATGCTTTTGCCAAACACAGTGAAGTGCGATAATCAATTGGATAAGAAATAAGCAGTAGTATCTAAATCGCAACCCCATTAGGGCAAAACTGCAAAAGACCTTTTCGGTCAAGTAGTGTATTTGGAATCAAATCTTAACGCTCCAATCCTTTCGATTCACTAAAATGTTTTTTTTCAGTCTTAAACTCAAGAATTGATAGAACCCACAAAAAAACACAGAAGATGCAACATTTAGTAATGAGAAAAAAAAAATCAAAGCCAGAAGTCAACCGTCTCATTCATGGGCTTAAGATTCACTAGTGTTTTCCATTAAGAGCTGCAAACCTCATTACAGGTTGAGATTTCCCGTCAGGTATGGCGAAGAGAACAATGGGCTCTGTTGGGCTGCCAAAGGGAACGTCACATCTAAAGTAGCCTTTTCTCTCCAGCTGTAATATATCGCCTCTCTTCAAGTCCCTCATGTTTGAATCCCCAAATGCAGAAGTCACCTTCTTCGTGCATGGGTTCACAACATCAACAAAATCTTCATCATCCTCGAGCTGCAAAAGTTCACAAATTTTTTTATTAGTGTAATCCAGCATGAAGTGATCAATATGTATCGGTTAATTTCTAGACATCCGTGAAAAAATTAGCTCAACATGAGCATATATATTAACACATGCTATTAAAACAACCCAACAAGATCCCAATGAGTGGGGTTTGGTAGGGGTATGTCTACCTATAAAAGTGGAGAGAAACATGATATTAGAAACCACATGCTAGTACTAAATTCTTTCTCCACAGTAATGAACATTAATGGATCAAAACATTCTGTTTCCAACATATATCAAACTTTAATGAACACTAATGGATCAAAACATTCTGTTTCCAACATATATCAAACTTTAATGAACACTAATGGATCAAAACATTCTGTTTCCAACATATATCAAACTTTCAAATATACTAGACTGCATTAGTATCTTAAACTGTCAGACATATCAGACTATCAGTGCGAGTGTGTGTAAGTTTCAATGATAAAAGTTTAAAACAATTAATGAAAGGCAGCTAGTAGTCCATTCATATCTTGTCTGAAATGGAATACGTACACATCTAAGAATCTTACCTTCTTTTTGGTTATTATGAAGTCGAAATCAACCAAAGAGAGCTTCACAAGTTCATCTGTATCAGGGAGCCAAGTAAGCTTTAATTTAGTAGTCTTGACAGAGCCTTCAAGATGCAATACACCTGTCAAACTTATTACATTGCCCTGCTGGTCCTTTTCTATATTCTTCACAATAGAATTACCCCAATCCATCAAAGTCACTTCCTCATTTGCAGAAATCAACTCCGCATCAGCATAGTCAATCCAAACTCTCTTTGTGTAAGTAGTGACTTTTATCCCAGCAGCTTCACATTTCTTGTGCTTTGGTATGACACGTGTGAATGGATCCTCTGGGCCATTGCTCAAAGTCAACAAAACCCGTCTTTCTTCTATTATAGCAGTATGCCTGGGGCATATAGGATCAATTAGCTTCTTATTGATGGCCCATAGCTTATCCCATTCCATGAGATTCAGATTCTTTGAAGCTCCCTAACAATAAGGTGGAATTTATACTTAGTTCAACAAACAAATATACTGTGTGTGCTTGATGACATACAATAGCATATGATAACAAGAAAAACAATGATGAATGATCTGAATATCTGATATAGAAATTAATCTAGAACTAATATGGATTGTGGCCAATGAAGATTTCTCATCCCCCCACTCCAATTATATGATGGAACAGCAATGGGGTAATCAACATAAATATCAATAGTTTGACACAAAACACATGCAAAAATGCATACAGCAACTTTCTGAATAAGCAATAATGAGATGAAACTCCAATACCACAACTATCAATGAGATTTTCCCACTTCCACAAAAATATCATGAGATGGAGATGAGTTGACATTTAATCTATATTCTATACACGAGGCTCATTGCAAAATTGATTTTGTAAAATTGATGAGCACACTGTTGAACATGACTGGAAAAGGGAAAAAATCATCAGGGGAAAAACAACCCAAACTAGACATCACAATTGATATTTTCCTTTACTTTGTGCATTGAATTCATGTGAAATCAGTACAAAGTAGATAAACATATTCTTAGAAGTATCTTACTTGTTCAAGAATGAACTGTATCAATGCCTCAATCTTCAACCCCCTGCGCACTATTCCTTGCACGGTTGGAAAACGCGGGTCATCCCACCCCTCAACCAGTCCATTTTGAACAAACCAGAGCAGCTTCCGCTTACTTAGAAGTGTATAAACCAAATTAAGACGACTGAACTCATAAATATGAACTTTTGGAAACCCCATGTCTGTTTGTATCCAGTGGTACTGATCATTGCGATCATGATACTCACTAGACCTAAGTGCATGAGTAATGCCTTCAACAGCATCAACAAAGGGGCACGCGAAATCATATGTTGGGTACAGTTTATATGTAGACCCAATTCTATGATGTGCAGTGTCATTGCAGCGGTAATATACTGGATCTCTAAGTGACTTGTTAGGATCCTGCATATCCAACTTCCCTCTAAGACAACACATCTTACCCCTTTCAGAACCAGCAATCATTTCCATCCATAATGTCAAACTCTCTTCAACAGTGTTGTTCCTATGCTTTGATTCTATACCATTCATTCTTTCCTCCCTCATCTGATCTCGTGGTGTATCATCAACATATGCCTTACCCTCTCGAATCAGTTTTTCAGCCATCTCCAGTAACTGTTGGAAGTAGTCTGATGTGTAAGTTACTGCTTTATATTTAATTCCAAGAGTCTGGACATCTTTCAAAAGATTATCCACAAACTCATTGCTCTCTTTGTCTGGATTCGTATCATCAAAGCGCAAAATGACTTCACCTTTATACCGATCAGCGAAATACTGGTTTAGAAGAGCAGCTTTAGAGTGGCCAATATGAAGAAATCCACTAGGCTCAGGTGCAAACCGCAGGCGCACCTTGCCAACCTCAGCATATGGAAGATCTACCTCAGATCCAGCATTGACAGGAGTAGCATTTGAAACTTGATGCTCGTTTACTTTGGTTGCAGCTTTTGCAGAGCTCTTTTTGCCAATATATGTTGCAATCAGTTCTCCTAGAACAGGTTCATATGCATCAAGTATTGAGTTAAACCACCTCACAAGATTTTGGTATTTCTTTGATTTTCTGAGACTTTCCCACCTTTGGGCAGCTCCTGCATAGGTTAAATTACTAAGTACTCATCAATGTGATACCAAAATGTAATCAACACCAATGTTTTGAATAAGAAAAATATGCCTGAACTTATCTGAGGCTTTCCCACCTTAGGACCATTATATTTCAATAAGTATTTTGTGTTGTAATTTTTAAAAATTTAAAATTCATAGCCTTTTATCAGAGACCAAAAACCCTCAACCAAATTTAAATAGGTCTTATAAAGGTACAAATTAATTATAATTCATAATAAGATAGCTATGCTGTGAATCTAGGTTTCATTTGATGCTATGTGCTTTAAGACTGTAAAACCATTCTTGGGATGTATTTGATAAGAGTAAAGGACCAGGGAAAGATATTAAGAGAAAGAGGGAGGTGTATCACAAAAAGATAATGAATGGAAACAATAGATGATGCTTAAAAAATCAGGCTAATGATCTATTTTGAACTTGCTAATGATAGTAAAAAAAAAAGGAAATTACAATTAAAGGAGATATACAATTAATATCAATCAAATTTGCATAATTGAGATCTCAGCACTTAAGCTCTAACAAAATCAGGCACTATTCTTTCCTTTTGCGCTCCCATGAATTGAGGCATTGCCAAGACAAAGTGCCTCAGCTACGCCTTTCAATTTTTGCAACATTGATCAAGACTGTAACGGCCAATTTGGTGACTTTTGGAGATATGATAAGATATGGGCTTTGAAATCTGTAAGAAATGATATGGTTTTGAAATTTGAGACAAAAATGTTTGGAAAAAATAGAAATGGAATCAAATCATGATCACAGTTGTTTGGTGAGCAGTTAAAAAATTAAATGCACGTGCTGAATAATATTTTATTATACTTATTATATAGTTATAATATTCACAAGAATTATATTTGTACTTTTAAATGGAATTTAATTTTAATATTTTTTTTATAATTAAAAAACCTACAAGTTCAACAATCTAACAAATAATCTTCTCAACTCCAAATTTTGAAAAAAAAGAAAACAATTGTCAATAATTCAATAATAATTGGATAAAAATACAATTTGATAGCAGTTCTATAATAATTTGACAAAAATCGAAAGATAATACCCAGTAACCTGATGATGATTTTTTTAGTGCGATGATGGTTTTTTTTATGATGTTGAATTTTTGGTACATTTCATGATGATGATTTAATATTCATAAAATTACCATTTGATACAGAGTAATAATATTTTTTAAAAATGGGTTAAAAATATGGAACGGAGAATTAAAAAAACATATCAGATTGGTGCGAATTATTTTTGAAACCAGCGTCGTGATATCGCCATTATGCGGAAGATAAAGAGTATCAGCAATTTTGAAGATATCGGATATCTTGGGTTTTCAAAAGTCAAATCCCTTTTTATTTCACAAAACAACTTTTTTTAAAATTGATACGGAGTATATGAGATATGAAGACCAATATCTGTATTGTTCACGAAACAAGCCCTAAGTTTGTGAAGCTTGTTAAGATAAACAAATAGCAAGTACGACAGTCTAGTCTAGCAAGAAACTAGAGGGGTAATTAGCAATGCTTTGCTAACAATAATTACAAGACTTGTCCTTGTATATCAACAGCAAAGTCAGGTCAAGTCCAGTCATTTACCTGCAAGGGCAGACCACACAGCAATATCTGCAATTGAAAGATTATTCCCAACCAAAAAAGTGTGTTGCTGCAAAAATTGGTCCACGTAATTGCATGCTCCCTGAAACTCAGAGCCGGAAGCAAAAGTAGCAACATACTCTAGCCATTCATCAATCTACAAGAATAAAAAAGGATCACAACATATAAAAATAAAAAAGATAAGTAAATTGCTCCGCATTAAATACCAAGAAGATTGTTTAAAATGGAAAGACAAAAATTTGGACTACAAGAAACCACAAGATTGCACCTTGCCAGACTCAAAGGGACCCCTCTCGTAGAATTCAGCAATGCTTGAGATACGTCCAATATACCTTAAGAGAACAAAAGCTCCCTTCAACTTCAACCTGTACATTACAATTATCTAAAATATGTCATGAATCATAAAACTTTACAAGAACATTATAGATTTTTTCCAGGCATGTATCATTTGCCTGCACACAATACTGCATGATGGAGTCACCTGTCCCCACTAAATCTTTTAGAGATCAGTTAAATATGTATAGTCAAAAATTAAAATCAGTTACAAGTAGTGTGCAGCTGCAAAGTGAGCATCCGCACAGGATCCCTAAATTCCCCCTAACTTTATAGGGGCTGGTTTTAATAAAAAGTGGTCATCCCTTAAAAAATGTAGAATGTACAATGTGCCCATTCTGATGCAAATTTGCTTCATTGTGATGCACATTTTGCAGTTACAAAAAGCTTTCAATACTTCACGACAGTGCGACTTATATATAGTGGGTGTTTCTCTGTGTTGGTGCTTATTGACTTATTGCTTATAAAAAGTTTTTAACTAATTACCTGCTTATAAGTTAAAAATTCTTTCGTGTAGATAAAATGACTTAAATGATATATAAGTCATTTATGAATATTCATAATGGGTGAGGGAAAATTTTGTTAGTAATCTGGTCATAACGAAAAAACAAAATAAACTGGCTTAAAAATAAGTAGGTAAGACCTACTTATTTTTTCTGACTTATAAGCAGCTTACAAGTCAGCTTATAAGCACACAAAAACACGTCATATGCTGACTTAGTGAGTGTTTCTCTATGCTTATAAGCTAGTCAAAATTGCTTATAAGTTGTTTTTAACTTAAAAGTCAGCTAATGACGTGTTTCTAAGTGCTTATAAGTAAACAAATAAGCAGGTCTTACCAGCTTAATGTTAAACCAATTTTTTGTTTCTCCATTTCAAAAAGATTACTTACAAAACTATCTCCCACCATTTATAAAAGTGACTTATTTATCATTTAAGTCATTCCACTTTCACATAAGAATATTTTACTTATAAGAAGCTTATAAGTTAAGAGCTGCTTATCAACAATGAGCCAATAAACACCATCACAGAGAAACACCCTCATAATTTTGGATATTAATAAGTATATGGAGTAAATCATTTAGGTTGGAAGTATAATCTTAAATTTGAAATAAAAATCTAAAAAGTATACAACTTATCATGTACCAAAAAAATTGAAAAATATATACTCTCTTGGTCCCTAATTAAGCATCCCACTTATTTATCAGTCAATAAATAATATTTCATTTAATTTTAATGAAAGGAATATGTGGTTCACAAAATTTCTCTATTTTTCCACCATGCTTTTAATTTTTCAACACTTCCCCAAAATTGTGTTCGTGGTAACACTAGGCAATAGAACGAGGACAGAGAAGTCATTATTAAGTTTAAAATTTACTACATATAATACAAAAAAATTAAACATAGTAAAAAAAGTCAACATGTACTACTGTTTTTTGGTCAGAACACACTATTCTATATGATTTTTCTTGAAAGTTTTTACATTGGGGGCATATTGTTCAGCACCTTCGGTGCGTGATTTCGGGGGTAGATTACTAGTAATAAGATATCAATTCAGTACCACGTGAAGTAGAGAGCACAAACACAATTCCAGATGTCAAAATCACACACATAATCACTGTAAATGCATCCCCCGCCTTCCAATCTTATTACATCAAATTTTAATCTTTTATAGATCTTAAGAAAATGTACAGGATCCACATGCATATTACCACGAGCAATAGGTCATTTATATGAAAATGAAAATGGACAGAAGTTAATTAAGTTACCCGTCAGGTAGAACAATCATGGGTGGCGAACCAGAGCTGAGGGTTGCATCAGGAGAGAAAGCAACTCCAGAGATTCTAGCCGCAACTAACACGGCTAGGGGAGGATTGTCAGAGGGAAATAAGATCCTGAATTCCATCCCTGCGATTAAAGAATTGAAAAATATGATCCAATTTATCAACTTCACTAAGCTTAACAAACATCTCTAATCCATTTCAGAAAGAATCATTCGAAACAGCGAATCATTGCATGCACTTTTCTAGAGCAAATTGTGCAATAGGAAAACAACTTTATTACCTGGAGACCAGCGTGAAATGGGACTAAGAGAATCGGATGAGTGCCAATTTGGAAAACTCGCCGTCTCGACGCCTCCGGAAGCGGGAACGCCGTGAAGCCTCGCCCGTCGTCGCACTAAGCCGTTTCTCGCCTGTCGTCCGCTGTCCGCGTCCACTCCACTCTGTGACTGTCCTGAAGAATGTGTAATCCCTAAAATTACTGAAAGCCCTAAAATGAGTTGGGGACCTCTTGCCCTGCGAGTGTCACAGACCTCCCAGGCTATTCACATTTAGGTCTAGATAGAAAAACCAACCGAATCGGATCATTAGGTTCAGACCGAACCCAGATTGAATGAATTTCAGGTTGGTCTTCGGTCCAAAAAATTTAGGCATTTGGATTTCGTTATGGTCCAGTCCAAACCCGAAATAATTTAGATCCGGACTGATTGGATCGGTTGGACCTAATGATCATATACTGGACCTAAAAGACCTAAATATTAAAACTCTACTTTTTAAGTTCCGTATTACACTTTGATACTCTATTTTAATAGATATTTTAATTTATTTAATTAAAAAGGTTTTTTATTAAATAATTTAAAAAAATATAAAAAAACGTTTCATATTTATTTTTATGGTTCTACATTGAATTAGTTCATATTGTGTACACATTTTAAGGTTGCCTATTTTTTTTATTCATTTTCTATTGAGTAAATTCTATAATTGGTCCTTTATAACAGAGGGGTTTCCCTATTTAGTCCTCTATTATCAAATATTACCCAAGTGGTCCTTCTTTTATAGGTATCTTTCCACAAAAAGTTCTTTTTTGATCTTCTATCATGTTGGTGTTAATTTGAGGGCTAAAAGTGTAATTTCACAATGATAATATATCTTTTTTGTCATACACAATTCCAAAGGCTGTTCCGTTTGCATCGTTTGTGAATTACAGTTGCTTTTTACGACAACTATAGTCTACAAATGTGATCTTTCGTCAGAATCCTAGCCCACAATCATAGTCATTATTTTTGTGTTATCCGCTTAACCAGTATCAGAACACGTCACTAGATATAATGTTGACGTAAAATTATACTTTTAGCCTTTAAAGTAACACTAACACAGTAGAAGATAAAAAAAGGACCATTTGTGGAAAGGTACCCTTAAAAAAGGACTACGAGAGTAATATTTGATAATAGAGGACCAAATATGAAAACCCCCCTGTTATAAAGGACCAATTATGGAATTTACTCAATAAAATTCATACCATAAATAACTTTTTCTCTGCACGCTTCTCCTACGCGACCCGACCCGACTAGGGTTTTCATCCACACGCCTCTCCTCCCATATACCACGACTTTCATCCTCGATCTACATGACCTGACCTGCAACCTCGATCTGTAATGCCGCCACAACCTTGACTACTTCTTAGATCTTCCTTCTTCATCGTTTTCGACGGATTTTCGCCACCATCGCTCCTCGTGATCTTCGCTAGGACTGTAAACGGATAGCCGAAAATCCAATTACCGTCTGCATCCGTATCCGTTTAAAGAGAAAATATCCGCATCCGTTTTGAACAGATATTATCCGTATCCGATTAAGGATATCTGATTACTAAACGGATACGGATTTGGTAATTGTATATCCGATCCGTTTAAAATCCGATCCGCATATGCATCTGTTTAAATAACTGTTTATCCGAATATCCGATCCGTTATATATAGTTTTTCCTAATTTTTTATGTTTATATTTTGTTTTCTATTGATATTTCAAAATATAAGACATTTTTAAATACAAAATAAATGTGTACACATAAAAATATATACACACATATAAAAATATGTGTATATATGTGTTGTGTATATCTTTTTATCATATAAAGTTATTGTAGAATATCAGAAATCATGAAAACAAAGAAAATAATTATCTCATAACAAATTATAGTTGATTTAATAATAGTTTGACTTTAATCTAATTTAAAAATAAAGTATTTTTTAATTTGATTTTAAAAATTGGAAACGGATACGGATATATCCGATATCCGACCGATATCCGACGGATGCGGATACAGTTTTGATTTTCAGTATCCGTCAAGATCCGTATCCGAATTCGATATCCGACAAAAATAAACGGATGCGGATTTGGTAATGGCACATCCGATCCGATTAATATCCGTTTACACCCCTAATCTTCGCTGCTCCTTTGTCTTCCGTCTTCGCTGCTCCATAATCTTTCGTCTCTGGTGGCTTGACCCAAAAAATAGAGGAGCATCTCCAATTACTGCGGCTTCCATTCCATCTCCTAGGTAATTTTCGTCCCTCTATTAGCCGGTTGTACCAGAAATTGAGTACAACCAGATGTATGATATAATTTGCAGAGAATGTAATGAGTTTTAAGGCTAGAAATATTTAAATGAGTTTTAAGAGCACTCGAGGTACATGTTACGCCGAGGGCTTCATCGTTTGTTGAACACCGTTATGTCGTTAAACATCTCACTCTTGGTGTTACGGGCTTGAACAACGACATCACTATTTTTTATCAGTCGCCCGTATTTAACAATTGAGTTAATGAGACTATACCTGATTCGTATTTTGAGGTTAGAGGGACGATTTGCACGTGTGACATCATGTTTCTGATGGAATATATCCAAATTCTTCTATAATTGTCAAGTTGCTCTTGAAACCAAATGATTTTAAATGGAAGAAACCAAAGCTCATGAGGCGGAAAGAATGGATATTGAATAAGTCTTTGAGAAGTTGAAGGGTAAGTGGCACATTATAGATCGTCCGTGGAGATGTTATTTTTCAAACAAAAATGAGAAATATCATGTGCGCATATATTATTCTTCATAATATTATTATAGAGGACAACGAGGTTGCAATTTGTCATTACAACCCGGACGAGGATGTGCCTACCTACAAAGAAATTGATGAAGAAAAGAAACAAATGCATTTCCAAGAAATTCAAAGCTGAGAGATTCGCGATGTACTAACGACGGATTTTATTGAACATATTTTTAGTCGCCCAAATAATCATTAATTTAATTTTTAAATTTTTTTAGTCGTTCAAGTAATGTAACTTTTATTTGTGTTGTTATTATTAAAATCTTTTTTATTAATGTAAATTTTTAAAAAAACATTAAATGTACTATTTATTAAATGTAATTTTTTATTTAATGAATTAATGCGGTTTAAATTTAATTAATTAATCAAATCTTATTAATTTAATTTTACAAAATATGTATTAAAAATGAAAAAAGTAAAGATTTGAAGCATTAGTTTGAACCCAAACCTATTTGCAGTGTAACTATGAGGTAAGTTAAAGAGGGGTTAAAATTGATGTGGCAGGGAGAAAATTTTTGAAGCTTGAGTTTAAAGTCTCGGGCTTCACACATATTTCCAATGCTCTAAGGTTCAAATTACTTAGTGAGTTTAACAGCAGCGTGTCTATTGTTGGAGAGCACTCTACTTACTACGGTTGTCTAGAATAAATTATCGAGGTTGAGTATCTTTTTTTACCAATAAAGCTTTGTGTTGTATTCAAATGTAAGTGGTATGATCCACGACCTAGAGTTGGAACTAGAATACACGACAACTATGACTTCATTAAAGTTTTAAAAAGTGGGATATTTTGTAAATATGATCCATTCATCCTTGCAACACAAGCTAAGTAGGTGACCTACATAGAGTATCATGGAGTAGCTAGTAAGGCCAAAAGAGAATAGTTAACTATTTGTGATGTAAAACCACATGGCTGGGTTGAAAGCACATGTGATATACAAAAGCTCCAGAGTAATGACGATTATTTCACGTACCAAGGAGATGCAAGAGAGGCAACCCAAATTGTTGAGATTCAACCAGGATTAGAAGCTATGAGAGAAGTTTTGACCAATATTAAATGTGGTTTAATAAAGATTTGGGGTAGTCGTGTTAATTTGTGTTAATACGAAAGCGTGAAAGTTGTACTGTAAATCTAAGGAAAGAAAAGCAATAACATTTGCTAAAGATATCACCATTAGATGGAATAGTACATATAAGTTGATTGCACAGATTCTAAGTTACAAATACGAACTTGCTGCATTTCTCAAGAATGAACTTCATTATATGATTCAATTGAATTAATTTATTATTGGTTAAAATTTGAATGCCGTGTTAGAATTGAGTAAATTCTATAATTGGTCCTTTATAACAGAGGGGTTTCCCTATTTAGTCCTCTATTATCAAATATTACCAAGTGGTCCTTCTTTTATAGGTATCTTTCCACAAAAAGTCCTTTTTTGATCTTCTATCATGTTGGTGTTAATTTGAGGGCTAAAAGTGTAATTTCACAATGATAATATATCTTTTTTGTCATACACAATTCCAAAGGCTGTTCCCTTTGCATCGTTTGTGAATTACAGTTGCTTTTTACGACAACTATAGTCTACAAATGTGATCTTTCGTCAGAATCCTAGCCCACAATCATAGTCATTATTTTTGTGTTATCCGCTTAACCAATATCAGAACACGTCACTAGATATAATGTTGACGTAAAATTATACTTTTAGCCTTTAAATTAACACTAACACGGTAGAAGATAAAAAAAGGACCATTTGTGGAAAGGTACCCTTAAAAAAAGGACTACGAGGGTAATATTTGATAATAGAGGACCAAATATGGAAACCCGCCGGTTATAAAGGACCAATTATGGAATTTACTCTTTTCTATTTGAATGGTACAAAGTAAAAAAGTCTAAAATATATTTAATTGATCAAAATAATTTAAAAAATTTGTATTTTTTTCGGTCCAATCGGTCCGAACCGGTTCGGTCCTAAATATTTCAGTCCGGTCTGGTAGACACCCAAATCTATTTAGGTCCGGTCTTCGGTCATTGAATTTACTCATTTCGGTCTCCGGTCCGGTCCGATTCAGTCCGATCTTGGACCGATGAACAACCCTACCCAATAGCTCTCTGATAGGAATCTGACTCCAGTTGGTCAATCAAAGTTCATTGCTAGGGTTTGGGTCTGGCTTTAGCGGGTCAACGATCCCACCAAATGCATAGGAGGCTTAGGGGTGGACACAGTACGGTTTTGGTCCGACGGTTCCGGTTCCAGAACCGACGCTTCTGGTACTGCCACCCCGTGGAACCGTTACGGGTACCGTCCCAACCGCTACCGGCACCGGTACTAATACTAGCAGTTCCAGTACGTGCCGGTCGGTTTCCACTACCTTCTATTTTAAAAAAAAATTATAAAAGTGTAAGTGTTAAAGAAAATAATGAAATAAAATATCTAAAAATTTAGTTGTTATTTAAATATCAAAAAATGAGTAATGCACGAACTACTACATTTAATATCCTAACGGTTCGAAAAAGTGACGAGGTAAAGAACCGTAAAGAAACTCTCGAAAAAGCTTATATATCGCTAACTTAAAAAAACTACTTATATTAATATAAAAAAGAGTGTATAGCTTATTCCTCGAAACTAGGACTTCCATTTGTGGTTGCATTCATGTAATGTTCAGCATTAATGTCGTACCCTGACTTTTGAGTTCGATGTCTTGCCAAGAGCCAATCTCAGTTGCAAACAAATGTCTCAAGTGATTCAGCACTAAGACAACTTTAGTGGTCGGTTAGAATGTTGCCGCTAGAACTGAATTCTTTTTCCACAGGTACGGTTGAAATTTGGACGGATAAAACTTGAATGGCTAGCATTCCGAGAGATGGGAACATGTGTTCGTTCCGCTTCCACCATTCAAAAACGTCAAAGTCCATGTCATCATCGTCGTCGCAATCGCATGACACCCTTTGGTACATAGCAAGTTCGTTGTGCGGCTTTACAGTTGTACCACTTGAACTCGTTGAAACGTGACCACGCTTCCTTTTTTCCAATAGGCCACCGACTATCGCTTTAAAACCTTTTTTTGCTTTGGGAGGTGGAGGAGGTGCTGTTTCTTCCGGTGCATTACCATAAAATGCTTGAAATTCTTTAAATAAAGACTCGAAAAAATTAATAGAATTATCTTTTTCTTTTGTTCATTCTATTAAATGATTGTAGTAATAATTATTTTCATCTAAAAGCAAGTGTAGTAATACTCAACCAGAATTTTAAAAATTTTCAATCTTAAAGCGAGGATCACAAATAATACTAATTTTATAAATATTATGAATATACAAATAATAAGAACACCATTTATCCCTCATAGGAAAGACATGGGGTACAACAAAAACATGTTGCAATTGTAACACACTCTTTAAAAAAACTGTATGTAATAGGTTGGTAAACATGCGAGAAAATAAGAGTCGGGTTATTAAAAATTTGAGTAAATTCCATAATTGGTCCTTTATAACAGGGGGGTTTCCATATTTGGTCCTCTATTATCAAATATTACCCTCGTAGTCCTTTTTTTAAGGGTACCTTTTCACAAATGGTCCTTTTTTTATCTTCTACCGTGTTAGTGTTAATTTAAAGGTTAAAAGTATAATTTTACGTCAACATTATATCTAGTGACGTGTTCTGATATTGGTTAAGCGGATAACACAAAAATAATGACTATGATTGTGGGCTAGGATTCTGACGAAAGATTACATTTGTAGACTATAGTTGTCGTAAAAAGCAACTGTAATTCACAAACGATGCAAACGGAACAGCCTTTGGAATTGTGTATGGCAAAAAAGATATATTATCATTGTGAAATTACACTTTTAGCCCTCAAATTAACACCAACATGATAGAAGATCAAAAAAGAACTTTTTGTGGAAAGATACCTATAAAAGAAGGACCACTTGGGTAATATTTGATAATAGAGGACTAAATAGGGAAACCCCTCTGTTATAAAGGACCAATTAAATATGTTTTCCCCCATAAAACCAACCGGAGTTGTCTACTCCGTTTTGAAGCTTATTATTTATCTAAATGGATTAGCCTAATCCGTTTCACTTATTTAATTACCGAACAGATTAGCCTAATTCGTTTCACTGTTTATTTTTTAAATAATTTTCTTAATGCACGACAACTTTTTAATAATATAATTGTTTGTTCCAATTTTTTTCCTTTAAATTTTTACTCCCTCCGTCCCCCTGTATTTGTCCACATTTGACTTTTGGAACTGTTCATCTAAGCACTTTGACTCATCAAATTCTCTCAATGTGTAAGCCTAAATATAGTCATGTGTGATCTTGTTTGATTTGTCTTAACATATAGATTATTAATATATAATTTTTATAATTTTTTAATATACAAATTACAAGATAAAATGGATTAAAGAAGTGCATTGGATGGTGTGTAAAAATGAAAGTGGACAAATACAGGGGGACGGAGGGAATAGTTATTTTAACTCCACTTTTATAAACTTTTGTAACGAATTAACTCCATTTTTATAAACTTTTTTTTCCTTTAAACTTTTCTTACTTTATTTTATAAAAATATTGTATTACAAAAGTTTTTAATTTTTTAGTTTCTGAATGAAACCAATTAACATTTGTTACTTATAAATTATTTATAAGAAACTAATTTAATTACAAAAAAGGAAACATACATAAAGAAGATGTAAAAAAATATACTATACTTTTTTTAAAATGATATTTATTGACTTTAAGTGATATTTATATAATGAAAATTAAAAGAAGAAGACAAAACAAAATCCCTGACTGACTTATTTATAAAATTTAATAATACATAAACTCGGACATAATTGAAATTCATGACATAGCTATTCCTCGTTGCAATTTCTCCGTGATTGATAATCCATGTTATTCGGATCACGGGTTTGTTGTATCCCCGGGTACTACAGTCGATCCTAATATCCTTAAACAAATCAACGGGATAGTGTCCAAAAGTTATGATTCGTTATGGAATGAATTTTTCACCAACAAACCATATAACTGAACCACCTTAACCATGACCTTCAACATACCCTAAATGCAACCCACCATCAAGCCTTTTCCCTCCTTCCTTTTCCCAACCTCGCCGAACCACCCTCCCCCCCCCCCCTTTTCTCTCCCCAACATATAACAAAGGTTATGCTATGTGTACCCCAAGGTTTGCACCTCAATTTGTACCCCGCAGTTTTGCACCAACACTTTGTGTTGGTGTAAAACTAATTTTTGTTAAACGCACCAACATTTGTGTCTGTGTGAATTTTTATTAACGCACCAACACTTATGTCGGTGTAAACCATCGAAATGTTTGTGCAAACCTGTGGTGTACAAATGGAGTATATTTTTTGGTGTAAGTGTAGCATGGTCCTATAACAAACTATGGCCCCCTCCTTGTTCCCCAACTACTTGAGTAAACAAACTCTAATGCCAAGGGAGTTGTGATACTTCAACCACCTGTTGAGGACTTGTCGTAAGGTCCAAAACAAATTAAAAATTTATAAAATATCCTTAACTAACCCCCAAAATATAATCAAATAAAAACTATAGCTAGGGCAAGTAAGAGTCGATCCCAAGGAGAAAGTTTGTACTTTTGAAATCAAAATAGCATGCAAACACGTTGTCACTAAAAAAAATAAAAATTAACTACTACACATATGATAATACTTATAATAAAACCTATAATAAAACTTATAACTAAATAAATATAAAAACTTATAAATATAACTTATATAAACAAAAAAAACTTATAGATAAGCTTAGTAAAAACATATATAATAACTTAAAACACAAGGGGGGGGGGTTGTTGGATAAAAAGTAAATATTTTTGGTATTTTATATTTTCTTATTTTTTTGGTTTTTTAATAAAAATGGGAAAACAAGCTCAAAAAATAATCAACCTCTCCAATTAAGGTAACCCAAGAAACACCGCCAAAAAACCCGAAACAAAATTAAAAAGAGAACAAACACAAAACGAACATTACACGTATAATAGGCACTTAGACAATATATTACGTAACTTACGCACTTAAAAATAGAAAAAAATTCAAAGGCTCGAGTTGATTCATATCCTTGACCACATATAGAGGATCGTCAACTCTCTATAAGGCCCGGAGTCAAAGATTCAAAGGCCTTTTGGTTACTTTGAACCCCCACTCACCTCAAGTGCTCAAACAATGATTCCAAAAGATGAAAAAGTTTATAAAAGAGCGAATCTTTCTTTGATTCTAACTCCCATGCACAAAGTATTCATGAAGAACATTTGATACACTTTAATAAACTTTAACGTCTAATGATGAAAATATTTTGCAGGTCTCCTTGAATAACTCAAGCATAAGAATTGTATTCTATTCACATAAGAAAACATTACATATTTTCAAAACTTAAAAATTGTTTTTGTGCTTAAACAAACTTAAATTTTATGAAAATCAACACAAAACAAACAAACAACATAACAATCACTTCATAACGAATCTTAAGGAAAATGTCCAACTTATGTGGCTAAGAAGTCCAAAATCCTTAAAATTTTACAAAACACAAGTCACAAAAAAGATTCACGTATGAATTCGGAAATCATTTAACTATAATATGGAGCTAAAATAGCTTCAATGAGAACCAAACTCTACATACCAACCTACTTATGAAATCAAACCGTACAATTCAACCAATTCAACAACAATTTGCACAATAATTGAAGAAAACTAGTATGAATCAATTTTTATTCATAAGGGATTTAATATAAACAAAAAAAACCCATAAAAGAACACCAACCATTTTGGGATTTTCGAAATTAACACAAACAAGAAAAAAAGTGTAAACTTGAATTGAAACAACACTTTTACAAAGAAATGGAGAAAAAAATTGAAGAAATAACATATAGGGTTACCAATTAGAGGAAAAAGATAAAAAATTAAGGAATTGGAGATTGAAGGGACCGCCTGACCTATCACCGCCGACCATCGTCGAACGCCGGCGAGCCGTGGTCGGCCGCCGTCTGCTTCCTTCTCCGGTGGCGTCAATTGCAGCGGCCAAAGCCGCTGCTCACTTACTTGTTTGGTGCGATGCCCTCTCTGTTGTTCCCCCCTTCCTTGGAGCTTCGACTCATCGCCAATTTATAGCAAGAATTATATATCCGTTGGAGAGTTGAATGAGGGGCGATTTTCAGGGAGAGACGTTGGAGCGTCGACCTTGAGATGGTCTTCGCTGTGGTGAAGAAGAAGTCGCCGGTTCTATTCTCTTTTTTTTTTCTTTGTGCGTAAATATGAAAAGGACAAGCCTGGTGGACTTCTTTATTTGATGATGGGTTTGGGCTCTAGCCCAAAATCAATATCTTCTTTCCAAACTTGAACTGCATTTTGGCCTTTTGCTACGTTTTTCTCCAAAAATTAAGATATCTGATAACTTGAGTTAGAAAAAATAAAATAAAACAAAGAAAATAGTAGAATGTAAAAAATGATTAAAAAACTACTATTTTTGAAAGAAAATTAAAAGATTGTAAAAATGAGAATTAAAATAAAACTAAGCTAAACAACTAAAAATTAAACTCTAAACATATTAAAAATGCCTAAAATTGAATAAAAAGAATCAAACCAAACCCGAGTTATCACCACCCTATCAACCACCCCAAATAAACCCACAATATAATGCCAAATAACTTAGCTGCCACACACTCCTTTGCCCCTCACCTCTGGCCAAATACAGCCCACCCCAACCACTATATTTGAGCAACAACATATGGCCAAATAAAACTATCAACGCACACACCCTTTTGCCCCATAGTCTGGCCGAAATAAATCAGCCTAATATACACTCTTTTGTTCATGAGATTTCCCCACCAAATAATAAGCCTATATTACCCTAAACCCCACCAAAAATCCCTAATTCATTCCATGAAAGGACCCATGCATTGGATTGTATTTTCAATGATTTGTTTTAAAGAAATAACCTTGTAGTCCCCCCCTTTGTAAGCCTTATATATTTCGGACAATAGGCCTGGTTGTAACACATCATATTCCTTGAATTTCTATCAGTAAAACACTTGTGTTTGCTATCATCAAATCCCTAATTCTATATTTTAAGAGTGGTTCTTTTAAGTGTGAGTTTGAGGTTCTAGATATTTGATTGAGTGTGTCATATCTTAATTAAATACTAGATTCCAACCCCAAGTTAAGATAAGAGTGTGTGATATCTCTTAACACAAAATTGGTCCTTTCCCCCTACACCAAAACATATCCTTTTCTGTCCAGCATCAGTTCAATAATCGATTATCTCAATTGATAATCGATTTCCCATTCTCAAGAAAACACTTGTAAACCTCGATAGTCGACTATCGTTTCACGACAATTGATTATCATCACACCCTGAAAAACTGTAGTTCTCATTAATCGATTGTCACTTCACTATCAATCGACTATTCCACCCTTCTGAAGTTCATGCCAAATTCTCCCCAGAAACAGAAGCCCATAAAAGTTGATTATCCCTTTTGGACAATTGAGTATCCACACCTCCTGAAAAATCTAAAAGTCTGGTCCTGTAAAGTTTAAGTTTAAAACCTACCCATCTAGAGCCAAGATACAACAGGGTTCTTGTAGGTTGGCCGATTCCTGTTTGCTCTGTCGCGGCGTTGGCCTCAGTATCTCGTACTGAATTGAAAAAACATTTAGAATTAAATGATCCACGGTGACACTACAGTAATGACATACTGCGTGGACATGACTGTACGGGATGTGGAATGTGTTAGAATATAAATAACTGTTCCTTGATGAGCAAAAGATCATGAGTTCAAAACTCACCGCCACCCACTTTAAAAAAATCAAGGTTTCACGTGCAAGGCTCAAAAAAAGACAACGCCTGCACGTGAGGGGGCGTGTTAGAATATAAATAACTGTTTCTAAGCCACAACCACAAGCTTGAGCTTTTGGTTGAGTTGGTTCCCTTGACATGGTATTAGAGCCTTAATGACCAAAAGATCACAAGTTCGAAACTCAGCGCCACCCAGTTTAAAAAAAAATAAGGTTTCACGTGCAAGGCTCAAAGAGGTCATGCCTGCACATGAGGGGGCGTGTTAGAGTATATAACAATTATTCCTAGGCCACAACCACAAGCTTGAGCTTGGGATTGAGTTGGTTCCTTGACAAAATGCTACCCATTGACCACAACTACATGTTCATGCATTTAAGTTCACCATAAATGTCTCCCGCTGAGCAATGTTGGATGACCCATCCATCACCACAGAGTATATCCCTTGTTGTGCATGGTGCGGCACAACACGACAATAAAGCCTATTTTCTTCATTTTTCCTAATATGTTTTCACACATTCATAGGAAAATTGTACCCGGATTGCTGCCATACATATCCATTTGTTCGCCTCTCAGCAAAAAGTTTGACCAACTTATCATAGGTGAACTTCACAATGGCATATACAGGCAAATAACGACATCGCTTTAGGACATTATTGAAACTTTCTAACGAATTCGTAGTCATTATAACATAACGTGCTCCACCTTCATCATGTGACAATGCCCACATGTGTTTTGGAATGACATTAAGCCAGTTGTAAGCTTCTTGATTTCTGGACGCTATTCGGAGGAGCAACTGGTCAAAGTCACTTCTGTTTGGGGCCTCACCAGCTTTGTACATTAAGGTCCGTAGCTTCTTACTTCGGAACTTCTTCCAGAAATTGCTTCATAGGTGGCGGAGACAATATCTTCGAGTTACTTGACCTCCACCCAACTCTAGAACATTTGCAAATGCATGGTTAATACCACCGTGTCTATCAGATATTATGCATACATGGCGGTGTGGGGGTACGACATGATGCATGACATTTGTCATGAACCATTTCCAACTTGCACCATCCTCAGCATCCACAATGGAAAAAGCAAGGAGAAAAATTTCACCATTTCCCGTTGTTGCCATCACAAGTAATAAACATCCCTTATACTTGTTATATAAGTGAGTTCCATCCACTGAAATAACTGGAAGAAAACAGTAAAATCCATCTATGCATTCCTTAAAGGACCAAAATACATACCTGAACTGATAACAATTTGGTGAATCGGTTGATTGTGTTTGCAAATCAACAACATTTCCATGGTTTGACCCCATAATTGCACTGAGCAAAGGAGCCAACTTGTTGTACGACCCTTCCCAAGTACCATACAATCATTGGATGGCTAATAACCGTGCACACCATGCCTTCTTGTATGACACAGAGATCTGAAACAACTCATAAACATCACTGATAATGAGTTTGACTTTATAGTCAACATCTTCTTGAATTTTTGGACCTATCTGGGTACTTACGAGTTCACTTGTTAACAATTTGTCGTCCTTGGCTCTTGTGTAATCTGGTCTACCCTAGTGGTACCCCTGGTATTGCGTTATGGTCAACTGACTTGTCCCTGCATTTTGTGCGGCTTGGGGGATGTATACACAACTAGCTCTCCAATAATGACTCCATTTCGCATCTGTGCGAAAGTGTCTATACTTGTTGTGAACTTTGAAAAGAAGGATAGGTATTACCAACCTCAATAATTAGTTCGTGGAACATCGGTTGCAAATATCTATACGTTTCGCGTCTCTAGATGTCTTGTAAATGTGGCATTGCACGAACGTCGTGGCCATCGTCTCCTTCATATGAGGATATGTCCTCTTCCTCTTCCGAAGATTCTTCATCTTCCGTTGAGGGTGCAACGTACTCAGCATCATCTGGATTACTATCAACATGTTGAGGAAAATGGGATGAAGAGGGCTAACCCATTTCTTGCCAAAAGAATGGATTACCATACTCTTCCTCCTTTACATTTTTAGACACTGATGAATACTTCAACTGCATCGTACTCACGTGATGCTTTTTGTATAAAATGCCGCCATGTTGGTTGACGAAAGAGTTTTAGCGGTAGTAAATTTCACTCTAAAAGAGATCGATTTATTCCCGTGTCGTATTCACGTGGATTGGTGTTAAAATAAATTTTCTATTTAAAATCTAGTTAGGCAAAGTTTTACTCATTGGTTTTGGAAGCCTTCTAAATTCGAAAAGTGTTTGTGGTTTGGATTTGAAACTGAGTTGGACAGAGTAATAAAATAATTGTTTCATAAAAAGGGAATATGAATTGATTTCAGGTAGTAGAAATTTTTCAGATATTTTAACTAGTTGGGTTATTAAATTAACTAATTAATTTAGCTAGTTAGTAGTTCTGTCACAATAACTCCATTAATTTTATCCTATATCTAGGCATTATTAATGTGCTAGAATTGATTGACTAAATTATTTTTCTCATTCATAGAAAAATGGACATAATAATTTTTCAAATATTAATTAATAAATTGGCGAGATTAATTAATTAGAACATAGAACAATTACTAGCAACATAACATTTAAATTTAATATTCTAACATAATTATTTTTCCTACATTCCTACTACCCTAATTTCAATTCACATCTCTAATATGTTTAAAAATACATAGTAATTATAAAAAGTGCACAAGTTGAATAACGAAACATGTTTATAATATTAATTAAAGAAACTTACAACTTCCAGAAAAGCAGAATTGGAACAGAACTGGAACTGAAACTCCAAAAATATCCTTAAAACTACGAATTGAAAGCTTAAATCGCTGCTAGAGAGAATGAAAACCCGAGAATATGATGATGGATTGAATGCCGAAGGACGCTGCCTTTTATAGGCCTAGGAATCTCCGGGGCGGGGTGTGGGGCGGCCGCTCGGCTGGTCGCCCTAGGAAGAATATCCGAATATTCACCGCAAGTTGCTTTAAACTCCCGTTTGAAACCCGGGGCTGGGTCCGGGGCGGTCGCCCAGGAGGTCGCCCTGCAGAAGATATCAATCATCTCTGGAAAAACGTGTCGTTTTGTGCCTTATCTTGCGTTTGAATCCCGGTGCTGGGTCCGGGGCGGTCGCCCAGCAGGTCGCCCCGCAGAAGATATTAATCATCTCTGGAAAACGTGTCGTTTTGTGCCTTATCTTGCGTTTGAATCCCGGGGCTGGGTCCGGGGCGGTCGCCCAGCAGGTCGCCCGGCCCAACCTAGGTATTTGGGCTTCGAATTTCTGTGGCAAGCTCCATATTTTACGCTGAACATTTATCTCTTCTGGAGCTATGGACGAAATTGAGTTTAAACATCTCAAATGTTTTATTATCTTTCAAGTTTTTACTCCGTTTGAACCAGTTTCTGTTTGAAAATTCCAAATTTGTTTTGAACACCCTTTTCTATAAACAAAATGGCTCACCGGTGCAAGCGGGTGTGTGGGTATCACTCTCAAGTCTCAACATAGACCTCTTTAGTGGCATCCTCGTCCTAGGACATACATGAAGATTGGGTGGGGGTATGAACATCTTCTTCGTCGACTTGCAACCTGCGCTAACCCCGCTCACTAAAGAAGTAATCAAAGCTCAATCTAACTGTAATCCACCCACTTTCTCCACCCCATAAAACCCATAATCTTGTAAAATATCTATTACACGAGGTGGTCTATTAGCAACAAGAGTCCTCGTATATAAACTAGAACAAGTCCTAAAACATTTTAAGGTCACTTTGGCATATTCTTCGTTAGCCCATACCGCATCACACCTATGTTCTCCGGGTTTAAGAACTAAAACGTCTCGTGGAATATGTCCCGGATGAACATCCATTTGCTTCAAAGATTACAACATAACAATTTATTAATTTAATAACAATTCATTTGCTTCAAACATTACAACATAACAATTTATTCATTTAATAAAAGCACACAACTAGACAGTTATAATAAAAAAACTAATTATGTTTAAAGTTATCTTACAATCTCAAAATAAAAAAATTACCAAATTCAAATTCAAGAATATTTAAAAATGAATATTTAAAGAATCAAATTCGAAATCTTACAAACTAATAATATATATATCAATTATAATAAAAAATTCATGAACTTGGTATACATCCTATATAATTTATGCAATTTTATAAACTAAAATATATATATCTCAATTTTATCATAAAATGATAAATATTTATAGAAATTAAATAAAAAATTAAAAATACCTCCATGAAACAGAGTATGATAGTCCGAATTGTCTTCTTCCGGCGGTTCCCCTCTCTTCCTCGAATTTCTTTTTTTTTTTCGGCGCTGCTGTTTGTTGGAACGGGTGGATGAAAGGGGCCAAGGGGTGTGTTGAGAACTATCGGATGGGGAGACGGAGTAGCCTACTTTGTCTGGAATTAATTTCAACAGAAATGGAGTTAGCTACTCCATATGGCATTTAAGATTTAATAAATAAATTGAGACGGAGTTGGCTACTCCATTTTATTTACAATTCTCGAGTAGAAATGAAGTTGGCTATTTCGTATTGCACTGCGAGGAAAAAAAATATTTGACTTACAATGTCACGAGTCGAATTTTTTTTACACATGTTGGTCGTTTGTTCTACGTCTTACGTACTCCTTAATTTGGTGATGTTACAAGCAGCCAAACATGAATGGGCAGCACCGTTCGCCTTACCCTTTCCAATACACTTGCCACTGCCGGCAGGAGAGAGATTATACCTCGCTTGGGTTCCACTGACCTCCATTCCCGAACCTCACTCTCATTCACATTTTTCTCTCCTCACAATTTTGCATCCATCAAGCATTCATCGTCTATGAACGCTCCTCTCACTGTTTAAGCTTCTTCTTCTGCTATTGGTACCATCCACGTTCATATCTCGCTAAAGCTCGGAAATGACTTTTTTGGGGGGGGGGGTTTGATGTTTTTTTGGATTGGGCTTCTTTTTAGATTGTGACGATGGAATTATCAAGGAAAAAGGTTTGCTAATTGTTGGACCAGGTGTGCTGGGTCGTTTAGTGGCTGAAAAAATGGCGAGAGGTATGATTTCTACCCTTTCGATTGTGCATTGTAAGCATGATGGAAAAATAACGCCTGATTGTAAAATCTAAAACTCTGAACTGATGCATTTTGGTTTTACACTGTCCATAAATTTTCTTGTTTATCTGTATAATGATATTGAAACAGTAGTGAAGATATAGGGGGTGATTATGTAGACAGTGCTTTGGAAGGGTGCAAAATGTGTTGGCATCGCATGTGCCCTCACCCCAATACCGCATTAGTATGATATTGTCCGCTTTGGGCCATACCCTCACGGATTTGTTCTGGGAACGGGGCACCTCCCAAAAGGGCTCATACGAATGGTTTAGGGTAACCATATAATTGTTGGTTCTCTTTCTTTTAATCATCCGGTGTGGGATTGGTTTGTATCCCAACAAAATGCTGATCAATATTAACAACAAAGACTTCTTCAGCAGCTTAGAGTGTTGAACTTCACTATTTACAAATCTCACCATTCTAACGAGCTACAAGAAGTATACTATTGTCTTCTGACATTATTTATTTTGGTGTGTAGAATAATGGTGGTGGTGTGTTCGAAATGGAGATATTGAGTGGTATTTATATGATGTAGAGTGGGAGTAGAAATATGTAATTAGGTAAGAGTGGGAATGAGTGGTTAGGTGGGAGGGGGAATAAATGATTAGGTGGGAGTGGGAAAGAGGGTGGTTAGGTGGGAGGAGGAATGAATGGTTAGGTGGGAGTGGGAAATGATGGTTAGGTGGGAGGGGCAATAAATGGATAGGTAGGAGTGGGAATGAGTGGTTAGGTGGGAGTGGGAATAAATGGTTAGGTGGGAGTGAGAAATAAAATGTATTAAATTCTGGGGAAAAACTAGAGATAATGGCTATTAGTAAATTGTTTACATACATTATCAAAATAAACAAGGAAAGTTTACATACATAACTGAAATAAAATTTATTAAACAAAAGGAAACTACTAAACATAATGGCTACTGGTACCACATCGGGTCCCACATCGAGTGTGTCGTGGTCGAAGATCCTGATCCCGTTCCTCCTCCACTTCAACGTTACTGAACGTATAAAGGATCACTGATGGTGTAGTGCTGGAGAGATATTGCCCAAACTCATCCGTGAGCTGACTTTCTTGAGTAAACATATAATCTCCATCAAACCTGACTGGTGACGTATGGTACACGCTGTGGAGGAGCTGGAATCTCGAATCGTGGAGTATACAAAGTGGATGGCTCACCGGTGCAAGCGGGTGTGTGGGTATCACTCTCAAGTCTCAACATAGACCTCTTTAGTGGCATCCTCGTCATAGGACATACATGAAGATTGGGTGGGGGTATGAACATCTTCTTCGTCGACTTGCAACCTGCGCTAACCCCGCTCACTAAAGAAGTAATCAAAGCTCAATCTAACTGTAATCCACCCACTTTCTCCACCCCATAAAACCCATAATCTTGTAAAATATCTATTACACGAGGTGGTCTATTAGCAACAAGAGTCCTCGTATATAAACTAGAACAAGTCCTAAAACACTTTAAG